TTTTCCAACTATTTTTACAAGACATTTTTATAAATAGCACCCCACAAGTTTGCACCAAACTCCATGTTAAAACTCTAGATTTCAAAAAACAAACTAACTTCACACTAAATAGATCACAGCTTTCACAATAGAACTAAGTTTCGAGATATCAATTATATAAACTGTTACAACATTTTATTACCAAATGTTCTCTTTTAAAACAAAGCACAAACACCACCTGACGGACATCCATTTTTACTCAAGTTTTTCTAAGTTTATTTTTAACCATCGAAAATAAACAAACTTTGGTTACACAGTCACATGCAACGTAATATCAACGTAAACCAAAGTTGTATATGCGAAAATTGTGCTACCTTTGTACTACATACGACAATGAACACCTGAAACCCTATGTTGTGACGTTCTTGAAAGTGGTTATTGCGTCCTCCACTAGCCTAAGATTGATGGCTAATTATTCCTGAGCGTAAAAGTTGAACGTAAACGTTACCGCCAAATTGTACTTGCAAATGTAACGAGAAAACATCAAGTTAAAGTTCTGTAACGTAAAAAAAGCATAACGCAAAGTATCCCGAATATGTGACGAGCAGTTTATTTCTTGTCAAATCTTCAAAATTTTTAACACGCACTAAATCCAAGTCATGGAAGACCTTATCAACGCGTTATTTTTTAACAAGAGTACACGAACAAAACGAGATTGTTAATCAGCAACGCATTTTAATAATTACTGTGAAAGAATGTGCACGTTTATGTAATTGAGAGAAAAAAAACACAGCTTAGTAACAAGACCAATGGATTATGTTACGGACTTTCTGAAAAGCCGACGAAAGAATTTACAACAAGGTACGGTTTAATTCAGCAATATCACAATGTCATTCAAAAAGTGTCGTAATAGTAACGAACCGTTAACTAACGCCGTAAGAATAAATTTGAAAAAGTACTAAAGTAATAGTGAAACATATACAGCTCGTGCGAGTTCCAACTTTTGATCGCTGCCGCTTACAAAGAACAGCCGATGCTTTAACGGCTAGATCAAAGCTACACATGTATGGTTTAACGTGACTTTGACCAAAGTTCAACTTTTTTGACGTTCGCATCAACAATATACGCTGGGAGTCTATCTCATTAACGCAGAGCGAGAAACACTACAAATTCCTGGCCGTATTGTCCACAACAAGCAACTGTAACTATTCCAAAAATCTGGAATACTGGTAGAATTTCTTGGTCACTGGGATATCCTCCGGACTTCCCAATGCCCACTGCAACTGCTCGATCTCAACGACCTTAACAAGGAATTTGGTCAGCATTTTTACATTCTTAATTTAAAACCTACATAAAAAGTCGACGGAATCTCATTGAAACGTGCATATACCGTTACATACATAAAAAAAAGAAAATCAAATAAAAATCGTTTACCGCTAAATCAAAATTTGGAGCACTTAGATTAATCGACCGAAAGTATTCATACAAAAAATTATGTTTTCGTAACTTTAAAACGAAACTAAACAGTGGACTTGATCACCTACTATAAAAAAGCTAATGACTGCAGATAAATATTATTAGGTTACTGTACCTTTAATGTTTGGTTTTATCGCTGTTGATAGCTAACGTTATTTGGAATATTACCAAGTTTGTGTGAAACGTTTGGAACAAGCTAACTGCATTTTTGAAAAAAAATTGACTTCTCTGCCTAAATTCTTTTGACACGTTACCGCCGTGCATGTAAACGTTGACGTGCAGTCATCACTTTTTATAGTAGCATGCATTTTTTTCTACTTTACCTTAGTAGAAATACAGAAATATTTTGCCTCAGCAATCAATTGACTGAAACGTCAAAGTTACTTCCGTGACAATACTTTCGCGGGCGACGCGTTAGTTCGTAGGTGGACAGAGCATATCCAATGACCAGCTAGATCACCTGATTTACTCCATTTATATACGTGATTTCATCGGAGGAGTTCTAGCGAATATATAACTGATGAGCAAGAATCCTTTTACGTTCTCCAGCTAATTTATGAACGCTTGCTAGATTGGTTGTTTAAATTGGCGCCAAAAGAAACCACGTCTTCGCATGCGTGAATTTAATACACTATTCTGTAGACGTTTTTTGAGTTGATTAAAATACACGGGTGCTTTTGTTATTTCTGGTTTTCTGTACCATTTAATACGTATTTGACCTAATAGAGAAACGTTATTGCTTTCAGTCAAGTGAAGTGTTTCTATGACCATGACAACCGTCAATGACGTTCGAAGGACTTGGATTGGTTTGGTTCGTGAAGCCATACTTCTCACTCTCTATTTTCCACAACAGATTATTGTTCCACTAAAATAATAATAATAGCATAATTAGCACGTGTGCCTTAATATAAATATTGCAATATTTTTTCTATGATTGTTTTAGTATGTCCAGATACTATATGCGTGTTTATCACGCAAGGATACATCAAACTTATGTTAAGGTTATTCTAAATTATGTAAATTAGATTTTAATATGAATATTATTTTTCAAACGAATTCAACCGTTGTGTTTATCTCAATGACAAATTATTTTATTTACAAAGTAGGTGGCTACAAAATTCAGTCCAGTTTTGCGGCAAAAATTCTTTCTCGTTGTTTTTATAAACTTTAATATGTATATTTTTCAGAAAAAAAGGAAGATAACCAGTCTCATCCGTGTTCTTACGTTTTTTATCAAATATCTCTAACGACTTTTTTATAACGACCAAACACCTTTAATTCCACGAATTCCTTTAATTCATTAATTCCATTGAAAGAAGTTTTCTTATGCAGTTTCCTATATGGAAAAAACAACCACAACAATGTTACCAGGATTCAACAAAACTGAAAATTTTCTTCACACTTATGTGATCTTTGACATTTGCAGAACCAAGAGCTTCATTACTAAAATACGTAAATTAATATTACACCAACTTCTGACGTCTACTCTGGAAAAATGTCAGTCGAAGGGTTCTTCAATTTGGAAGCTGTAATCGTTTGATAGCATTTTGACAATCCTTGAAAGAAAAAAGTTTGAAGCGTAGGTTCTTGTTGCTTTTCGTAACACTAGTCGGTGTACCATTTGTGTACAAGTTGTATCCTGTTCATTACGTATAAACTAAAACAATTATAAACTTAGCAATAACATGACCAATCGATGCATCTTCCAAGAATTTTACTCTATTAACCAGTTTAATTGTGTATTAACAGTACGAACATTAACAATTCTGTTATAAATATACACTTATTTTTACAAACATTGAATTACAGATGTCAAAATGGCTAAAAAACACTTGTATATATTAAAATAAAATCGATTCTAGGAACCAACCAACGTCCCCCCCCCCCCTCAATGATCGTTCCCTCTTCTGTGCTAGTACTTAATTAATATCGGCTAGTTACCAGTTGCTAGGCAATGCAACACGGGTGATATTAAAACAAAATCTCAATTAGTAGTTAATAAATAACTTGTAGTTAGTTATAGTGGCACTGATTGCCACATTTCGTAAATCGTGACTAAAATTACATCAAGCCTTTTATAATAATGGTGGGTTAAGATTAGGAAATGATGGAAATACTACGTCAATTCTAGTTTGTCGAGATAAAAAAGTATAGTGTTTATACAATATTTACAACATATCAAAACAACTATTAGATAAAAAAAAATGGAAGTTTGAAATCGCCAAGTTAAACAACACAAACACATTCAAAGAATCAAAGATATCGTTCCGCATATAGAAGCCGTTGTTCCAACGTAATCTCGGCTACATTAGTTTACATTAATAAATTTATAAAATCAATTTTATTTTCTTTTTTCGAACGATATCAAAATCTTAATAACGTAATTTATTATTTAAACAAATTCAACCCAACATAAATCTTGACCCAAGTTTTATCTAAATTATGATAATCGCTGTCGTTTTGTTTTCCTAAGTGAAAAATTCGCATTCGTGGTCAAAATTCATTATTCGTGGCCCGGTAGACTTGATTCATGTGTACAGTCCGTGGCCATAGAGTCCATGTTCATTCATAAAATTTTCGCATTTTAAACAAAGCAAGTGTAAATTTTTATGGATCAAAATCTACGCGAGCTGGCGATTAGTTCGGAGATATGATCGAAGATAATGCGGCAATTTGTGTTATTCGCAGCAAAAAATACAAGGTTTCTGAGTTGGCTGCGAAAAGTAATCGGTCACCTAAAGTGATCGGAAGTGGTTCGAACGCCGGTAAAGAATCGCGGCTGCTATGAATAGCAAATAAAAATTTTGTTTACATTGTGTGATAAGAGATCATTGAGAGATTAGGTTAGTAGTAGAAGCATCCGCACGCATCTTTTCCCATTGAAATAAATCATTGTATAGACGTTTGCGAGCGAGTGTGAAGGTCGTTACGTACGAAGGGACAAAAAGAATGATGAATTGAGTCCGTATGGGAATATATAAGCGAAATTCATATAAATGAGTGCAATGAAGCACGTGGTTTCGCCACGCCCCAAACCGTACTATACGTTACTCCATAGTGGGGAGGCGAATGTTATGACGGCGATCCGAATCAATACCCCGCAACAACATTGCAGACGCCACCCAAGAAAACACGAGAAACATCATTTCCGCAGAAAAATGTCGACAGTCAAAATAAACACACGAATCGAATCGTCCAATCGCCGATGAATCATTCATGCGAAGCACGGCACACATGCACAAAAATGATGCCAAATTCCGAATTTGTGTCGCAATCCACATGACGGAAAAATACAAGTCCTCGAGAAAATCGGGCATTTTCAATTTAGGTTTATTGACATCCGCGGAGAAAAATACGCCGCGGCAGGAATATACAAGCGCGGTCACCCGAGAACGCGTATTTTGGCGAAAACACTGTTATTATTTATAAATGTTGTTTACGTAAACAAGTGTCTTCGGCGGACCCGCAAGGGGTTACACCGTCCAGGTGAAGCCACTCCGACACGCTTTAATTGTGCTAGTAATTAGAGTAACTAGAATATTTACCTTGGGAAATCGCACCATCTTCAGGTAGACAATTCACCGAAACATAACCCACACTGCACTGACAACGTCAGAAGCACGCAATTCGGGATTCACTATTCCAACAATTTCGAGCGAAAGACCATATTATTGCACAACAAATTCACTAAACAACGTCGTATACACTTTAGCCACCATGCTTACTGGAGTTACATACAACTTTACTAATATTTGTTTGGCGATTGCGTTGTACAATGTTGCCACTCCGTCAAAAATGGACAGACCTTTCACTGCAGAACAATCCGATTCCATTCATACTCGCCATCGCGTTTAGAAAACCATCAATCAAACACAAGTGTTTTTTCTCTAAATAGGTTTATTTTTAAATTCAACAGAGCTCGTACACACGAGTGCAATACATAGGCAACATAGGAATATAGGAACGGGTATTTTCACCTCCACCCAACAATGCCTTCGACTTCTGCGCATGCATTTACGCGCTACAAACCGCACAGACAAGGACCGTCGGAATACCGATTGATGGGAGAAAGTAAGAAAATATGAATCATGAAACCACTAAATAAAGCACCATCTCGTGGCTAATATCACAAGCAAAGCAACTTCGCGAAAAAATTAGGCAACCTGTCTTTTGCGTACCACTATACAGGAAATTTTAAAACTATAAAAAAATACTTAATCACAGGACGCTATTTCTTATCACAACATATTTTTTTTGTCACTATCTGTATTTACAAATTTTTAAACTACGCAACAACTGATATCGGACTGTTATTCAACTACCTGCGTATTTTTATATCATCCTATTATCGCACAGTCCCAACTTCGCAGAATGTTTCCCTTATGTTAGGCAGCACTCACAACACAAAAGTAAATTTATATATCCTAGTCATGGATATTTATTTATTTAAAACGCAATAAAGCATTGCATGCCGTATTAAAAATAGTTAACATAAATATGCAAGTAAGTGTTCACGGTAGAAACTGAGCCAGCCGAAGCAAATGTTGCCAAAAATGTAAACAACAAATCATATAGTAATAGTTGATGGGATATGTGTGATACTTTTCTGTTGTGTTCGTAAAACAACTTTGTTGGCGAAACGCGTCAAAAATTTACTCGATGTATCGTTTTCGTTGTTGCACCACTTCTCTTCTTTTAGTCTTAAAAGAAATTATGTAAATAAATGTGGAAGTAGCCAAAAAATCATTATTTGTGTGGTGATACTGCTAGTTCAAAATTAAGACGCATTCGAATTTTTCAACTTCTCAATACTCTGTGCTACTATATACATAACTTGACTATTGTGTGTAGTTTAATAACAGTTTATAAAGAAAGGTCTCTTTGAAAGGCATGACGCTCTAATGAGGTAACAATAGTGTTACCCCTAGAATTTCTGTAATAACAGTAACGCCCTCGGCTGAGAACCCTTATTAATTAACTCGCTAGTAACCCAATCAACATGCTTCACAAACATAATTCTCCAGTATTGTTTCTATGTTAAACCTTTTCTGAAAAGATCCAGGCAGTCAACCGCTTACAACCCTTTCCATGTGAAACAGACCGTTATCGATTACAATCAATTGAACACTGATTACAATCGATACCATCTCAAATAAAGTTTCTTTTATCAAGAGTGTTTCATTGATTACTGAGAATTTTCACAATATTTGTGCGTTTATCTTATTAGAATTTTATTATTGCTAAACTATTTTGAGTAGGTATACAAGTGGATCAACCAAGGTGTGACAAGTCATATGGCTGTATACTTACATAGTTAATTACTTAGATTCCTTGTTATAAACAAAGGGCGGGACACCCGTTTAAACCATATTCTTACAGACTAATTCTGCATTGACAAGTAAAGCAGTGGACGAAAATCGAAAGACTCAAGCGTTCACCACCACAGGGTATCCCAAAATTGATGCGTTAGAAAAAAGGTATAGAAAATGTCAAGACCCAACAATTTTCTGCAGCCCTGATAATAGGCCGCACACAATACATTCATATTTATGTGTCCGCCCTTATTGATACTGTTCCGATCGCAATCCGGCTACAAAACCAGTTTACACTAGGAACCTAAAAATAAAAAATTCCCAAAATTATGAACTTTGAAACTTTTTCCTATCCAACAAGTTGATTAAGATAAAACAAGGTAAAAACATTACGGGGAGATTCTCCTGTCTTTTTGGTTGTTATTGTTGTTGCCAAATTAGCTAAAAATAATGAAAAATGATGGGTTGCGTTTCACATTACTAGTACTAGTGCCATTTTTCCTTCCCAAGGGGGGTTATATCTCTATACACACCTTCCATTTCAAATTTGTTGTTATACTTATTAAGTAACTTCTAAGCTTATCATCCAGCGTCTCTATTCAAGACAAGCGTTTTAAAAAATGGCCTCTTTTCAAAAATCATTTACGAAAAGCTTATTAAGACACGTGGATAAAGAAATATCCTTACATATGAGGTGATATTTGATATGTGCTAACAATTATAGTACATTATCTAGCCTATTATTTTTTTGTTTGAAATACATTACTTTTTAAAATAAAATAATTTTTTCGACTGGGTCTTTCAGACTCTTTCCATTTTAGCAGTGATTTTTACCCACATACCGAAGGGTTAGGCAGGAATAAGGCAATTGCAAGTTTTTCCATTTCTAGCAGAACTATGTAAAAAGAAAAATCTTGGCAACTGATTGGAAAAATTTATAAATATAAGATCTACCTTACGTATCATTTTAAATTTACCGCCGTATCTGGACATATAGTGAAAATATTATTTATTTGTTCGTAGGCTGGTTCGTGATGATGGTAACACATTCTAGTGACTGGACAAAGGGACTACTTCAAGTATATGCATTTTGCTTAAATGAATAATTATATTTAATTTAGAAATGAGTATGTACAAAAGAGATTTAGTCATATGAGAATAATTTGGTATAACAATAAATTGTAGTGTAGTTTAATATGCAAATATAATTATCAGAAAATGAACTTCAGTATTAAAACATTTTTAAATAAATTCAAGAAAACCTTATAAATTTGAAACTAATAAAACAAACATTTAAAAAAATCTAAAACAAAAATATAACAAAACTCAAAATTGGTACCATAACTCAAAATTTGTAACAACTCAAATTTTGTAACATAACTCAAAATTTGGTAACAACTCAAAAATTTGGTAAGGAACATTATAGTAGTTGCGTGGTCAGCGTTCATCAAACAATATAGCTGTTTAACTAATAATTGCAATGCAAATTAATCTTTAAAAATAGATATAAATCTCAAAACGTTATCCAATCGAGAATACAAAGGGCGATTTATCATCAAAATTAAACTGAACTTTAAAAATATTAATAAAAACAAAACTTTGAACTTTTTATGAAATCGTGCACATTTTTGGAGATTAACACTTACCCCCTTCTGTAACAACACAAACACACACTAAACAGGAAACTGGCTAGAGGACTCTGGTCTTTTTGGATCTTTCGATCTTTTATAAGTAAAGACCCCTCCAAAGGAGTTGTTTTCGCAAAATTGTTTACAAGTTACCAGTTTATTTGGGGAGTAGTAAAAGTATTTGTGTTTCCACCAAATTAGGCTTAATTAACTGTAATATGAAGATTTTTAGTGGCAAAATGTGCTTTTTGTTAAAATTAACAAATTTAAACCATGAAATTATAAAACCGGACAAAGACATCGTGTCCAGCCAAACGGCGCCAATATTTAACTGTGAAATTATAAACCTTGATAAGAGTGGTGTGAAATCATAAAATCCAAGTTTCACAAGGACAACCTTGAGTTTTACGACAATGACGATTGACGATTGTTCTGATTCATACCAACATCTCCAAAAATAAGTAAATTTATCGCCCAATGGAGAATATCAGAATACACATTATTAAAGCGATCAGTCAATGTAAATCAGATTTTGTACATTTTCTAACCTATATTGGGGGGGGGGGGGTGTCGATTATTGGATACAAAAAATCATTGGGGAACCACTGACCGGCAATGGTGTCGATTATAGGGAAAACGATTTTTCCATGTTGGCAACACTAACAAATTGCGCGCAAAATTTAAAATATCGCGTTCAACACCAGACCTCTGTACCATGATTTACTCCAGTGTTCGACACACATGTGTCAGTAACTGGGGCAACAAATGTCTCCTAGAAGAAATTATACAAAAGAACGAATGTCTAAAGCCATTGATGCTGTTGGGCGTGGAATGGCGATAGCTACAGCAACAAAGGCTTTTTCTGTCCCAAGAACAACACTTTTGGATAAAATAAGTGGCAGAAGCTCGCTCGAGTCCAAAGATGGAGCCAAACGCAGTGCTAACACAACATGAAGAAAAAATTTTAGAAGACTGGATAATGTCTTTGTCTGATATGCACTACTCAACAAAGAAAGATGAATTACTTGACAGTGTTCAACATATCATCCAAAAAGAAGAAGAAAAAAAAGAAAAGTGCAAGTGAAGGAAAAGAAAAGTCAAGAACGACAAGCCAAAAAACTTGAAAAAGACAAGAAGAAGATAAAAAGAAGGTGTTACTGACGAGCGATTCTGAATCTGAGGAACAATGGGTGGAAAGTGGTGACAGCCTAGACGACATTGACTTAGAACAAGAAAATAGCGATGAAAACTTTGGGTATTACAAAGTTGAAGTAAAATCAACACCACTTAAGCAACCATATTAGAATTCATATGTAATTGTAGAATATGAACAGCGCTATTTTCCTGGTCGAGTGACAAAACTGGACACAGACGGATATTTTATTTCTACCATGACAAAAAGTGGTTTATGTGACTGGAAATGACCAGAACAAAAGGACGAAATCCATTATACAGAAGAAGAAATAATAGAAATAATACAAGCACCAAAGAAAAAAAAAATTCACGTGGGATATATTCTGTGCCGGAAATGGCAAAATATAGAGATTTTTCGGTTTGAATTGATTAATAAAAATATTAAGACTGATTAAAACCAAATGGAGACTGATTGTTAAGCTGTTAATTTTATAGAATATATATATTTTTTTGTTCATTGATATAATTTTACGTTATGTTCTTTTATGACAAATAAACTTTATTTTTTTTATCATTTTGTCTACTTTTATTCGAGACAAATCTCTTCAGTCATGTCAATTACTGGGGTGTCGATTACTGGAAATCAAAAAATTCCTGCGTCGATTACTGGGGATTTGGAACAGTTGTTTAAAAAATTCAAAATTTCAAAACTACACAAAGAAATCCTCATTTGTTACTATAGGAATGAAGATAAAGAATTATTGAATCTCTAAAATAATTTTCCAAGTTACTTGACCGTAAATCTCCAATTTTGACATTTTTTTTTTGTTTATGTTGGTCTAATAGTGTCGATCACTGGTGTCTTTACCTTATTTGCTTTTTTAAACTAATTTCAAGATCAAATTAAAACACTTTACTAAAGTGTGTTGTGTACTGATATAGTACTACGGTAGGTTGTACATAATATTTATCTACGTTAACGAGTCCTCAACAAAAATTATCCTTTAAATCTGAATTCTTATTAAGTCGTTTATAATTATATAGTAACACCCGCAAATTCCTAATTCTTTTTTATTTTTGAAATTCAGTGCTTGCACAGCCTAGTAGAAAGAAAAATAACTGAAATGTCAACGTATCTTGAACTATATCAAGCGAATCTTGATTGTGTACTTTAACATCATGCAATAAGAACATACATTTTACAATGATGACCGTTTCACAACGTTACAAAATTTTTAGATAGTGGAAATACCAAATTTATATATTTAATAATCATATTGCTTTGCTTAAACTGTGCTTTAGGAAACGTAATTTTAAATTTTTTCAAACTTCAACAAATTTGTGTGAAATAGTGTCACAATAAATGTAAAATTTATTGTATTTCAAACTCTGAAGGTATACTCGTTAACGTTGGAGTTTAACAAATAACAAGTTTTAAAACTATAGTACTTTACATAACATATCAATAATTTATTCATATAAAAATATATTAATGACAATTTATACACTGCACTAGATATTTTTAGGTAAATTTATAATACAAAATAAGAGTTTATTATAAAATATATAAATGATTTAACTGGACACATAACCTTGACTGTCAAACACAATAATTTAACAACAAAGTATTAAGTACGTACATTATATTACCAACACAGTCTGGCAAGACAACAGTTATAAAATAAATAAATATAAATAGACAATCATCGGTAAATATGAATACTGACTTCACCGTCAGGAAGTTTCTTCATTAAAGACCAGGCTTCTATCCTTGACAAATTTGTTAAGCTAATCTCATTAATAGCCAACAGTTCATCCCCAACACATAACTCTCCACATTTTTCGGCAAGTCCAGCTAAAATCAAATTTACAAAATGATGTTCGGCACTAACATCGCACAAACCTTGGAATATTTTTTTGATCCTTAACGGCAAATCGCCCAGTGGTGAATCTTTTCCCCCTTCGATACTAAACCCTAAACCAGCACCATTTTTCGTTAAGGTGATCACATGTGTAGCACTCTTTGTGGAAGCAGCAGCAATTGTCGGACCTAAAACGATTGTGTTTTCAAAATCTGGTTGCGACAATCGTGACAGTACTCACTTTTTGGTTCTGAAGTGTCAGAACTAAAGGATTTTCGTTGTGGTGACGGAACGGTTTCTTCTTTACCCTCTTCCACGATTAGGGTAAACTCAGCAACTGGTTCCTGAAAAGACCCAACACTTTATTTGCATCCAACAGCGATTTATACACTTACTTTTAGTAGTTCAACAGATTCTGCATGTGTAAGATTTGTTGTGCTTTTTCCATTAATGGATACAATTTTGTCGCCTTTTTTCAGCTGCCCGTCGTTATAAGCTACGCTTCCATAACGAATTTTGTGCACCTATATCAAAAATGTTAGATTCTTCGTTATTATTGTTATTATTGTTTGACTAACCGTTATTTCTTTTGTTTCGTAATCCGTCCCTCCCGCCAGGGTGATGCCAATACTACCGCCTACGAACTCGGGACAGAGGACAATCGTCCTCCTGGTGGCAGCAACAGAAATTTCTTCTTGTTTTTCTTGAGTCGCTTCCTTTGGAATTGGAATGGGCTGCGGCTAAAAGCATGATTATCATGAGAATGCTTTTGAAGAGGAAACATCAACAAGACGTTTTTAAAATTCCAGGTCTAAGTCATGGGTGTGAGGTTAATTTATTTAACAGTTAAGCGATAATAACTACACAAACCTTTACTGTTTCCAGCTTAACAACCTCTCCATTGCTTACGGATTTTTTCTCAGGTAAACTCTCCTGTTTGGTTAATTTCGGTTCGGTTTTAGTGACTGGAGTTTTTGGTTCCTTGGTGGTAACAGATGTTGGAAAGCTTTGGGGTAGCGGGGGAGGTGCGGCGCCGAATTTTTCAAAACTTTTTCTTAAATCCGTAACACTCATTGCTTTGTTATTGTTGCGCAAGCTACTAGGTTTGACAAGATTGCTTTTCGGAGGTATTTTTGTTTCTCTTAGCTGCGTGGAGAAGCTAGTAAGCGAATTAGTTACCGGTTTCAACGTAACCAGATTGTTTCGTTCTGATACTTTATTAGTTAATACTGATTCTGGAATATTGACAGTGAGTGCTATACGAAAACATAAACTTCAATACTTACCAGTTTTTGCGTTCTTCGTAATTCCGCTATCTCCGTTTACAACAGGTTTAGGAGCAGATTCTTCACTCATACTGCGTTTTTCTTTAATTAAATTACGAAGTTCAAACGGTCGGGACTCTTGTTTAGGAATCGACGGCTCTTTTACTGTATTTTCAGTTTCCGCGGGGTTCGTGGTCGTGGAATTAGTATCATCTTCATATTTTCTTTGAATTATGGGGGAGCCGACTTTAAGGTCCCTGCCGCTTCGACATTTTGCAGAGGCTAGTATATTTTTACGATTAATGGCTTCAACGCTGGCTGCTTTCAAAAGTCGGCACTGCATGTTACTGTATTTATCGACGTCTTGGATAGAGTCTGATTTAGTTCGAATATTCGCTTCATAATCCAGCATTTCACATGATCTAGTCGGTGAAGGTGGAGGTGAACATCTCGAAATATAACTAGACTGACTTGAGCTTACTGCTGAATCATTGTCACTTTCATCTTCGGATTTTCCGATGTCTTTGTGTAATTTCGATACGTAGTTGAAAGTCTCTTTGGGTGTCCTGTTCGACTCCTGTTTATTACTGTATTTCCCTTTGCCGAGGGAATTCGTAACGTAGTCGAAACTGCAGTCCGACCTTGTTGGTGACGTGATACTTTCTAACGATTTAGGGGAATCGGATAAATTATCGAGTCTTAGTTCATCTGACTTATTTTTTAAAGTGGCACTTTTCTCAGGCACAACAGTTTTTACTGGCGATTTACTTATGGCAGTCGGAAGTTCTTCAGGTTTATTGTTTTTCGTTTGCGAATAAACTTGAAGGCTTTTCCTCTTGAAGGCGGGAGAATATTTAGGGAAAGTACTGGTATTAGAAGCCCAAGGAGGTGAGGTTAATGGTAATGCAACTGGTTCAGATTCATTTGAATGGCATTGTGTGGTTTCATTTGCATGAATCTTTGTTTCTAGAACAAATGATGAAGTGGTGTGACTTATTATTTCAGGTATGTTAACCGCAGGAGTCGTGTCGTTTTCAGATACGTGTTCTGGTATTACAAGTCCTTTTAACTTCGAATATCCTTTTCTTCTTTGTTCGGCTAAAAGACTCCAGCGGTCACTTTTTTGCTTTGATAAATTCGACATGTCGATTAGACTTTGTGATCTCGTGTGGAGTGTCGGTTCTAAACTAGCCCTTCTTAAGGTTACCTCATCACCACCGTCGAAGGGGTTTATCGAACTAAGATCACTGTTCGAAACACTACTAGCCTTTGAAAGAGGCTTGTTCTGTACGGAAAAATCGTTGAAAGAGCTTCTGTTTGAACTCCAATTTACACTATCTGTTGACTTGTGAGTCTTCACTAGTGTTGGCTTTGTACTTTTTTCGTTTACGTCTAGCTGTTGACTGTATAAATCTTGATAATTTTCTCGGAGGTATTTTTCGTCGCTTGGTTCACTGATGATGACTTCGGTGTAGTCTGGAAACTCATGTCCATCAGGTGGCTGCCGTGAATCACTCGGAAGAGTTTCCATCTTGCCATTGATACCTAAAAAAATGAGCGCGATTGAAACACGCCATATCGCACCACACGTTTACATATAATGAGTCAAAAGTTGTTTTTAATTTATTAAAATAGCTCCGACAACTCGTTGCACAATACCGTATGGTTAAGATCTACTTTACATCCTACATGACTAACTAAAACAAGTAGGTTGAATTTTTCAAACAACTGATTTATCGACACGTAGAGTTGATGGACTACCGATAAAAATGTGACACATTATGATAATCATATCTCGAAACTTCATTCAAGTAAAGATTGTCCACACGTTGCATTTGCCAAATCGATAAAACCGCAGTATTCTTCAAGGGAAATTATCTCATTAAAAAGCTATTTTTGTAAACAATATATGGCAGTACACTGTCATAACTTCATGGTGAAAACCCCCGCACGCTGTCTCTGACCATGAAATTTTTTCACCACAAGTATCTTGTTTCTTGAGTGCTCCACATCAACAGCAAATATATATCGAATGATCTTGGATTGGAAAAAAATCACTGATCTAGTTATGGATAAGGAATTTGACAATAATTACATTCAAAGTTGGTTTCTGCCCACAAAAACTTGTATGGTTAGGGAAAGTGAATATTTTATTCACCTTATTATTATGTCACAGTGCATAAAAAATGACATGTAGGTACCGTACTGGTCCATGTGAGATGTTTGTGATTTAAAATATAACAGTAATAATCGTAATAAAAACGTTAAAGACGAGTACGTTTTGAAATAAGTGCGTTGATTAGCGAACGGTAGAAAAGTTGGTGTTTTTTTTTGGCAGTGAACTCTTCGTCGATGCTGTTTTGTTGGTGACGACACGATAATCGCGAAAAAGTTGAATATTTGACAGAAGGTGAATGAAAAATAAACGAAAAAGAAAAAAACGCTCACCAAATATTCAATTATCCAAAAAGAACACTGTACAAGTGATGGAACAACTTAGAATTTAAAAACGATTCTGTAGCAATCGCGTTGGGCGTGCAGATTGCTCGCCATACAGACCGACACTAACGAAATGGCAAAGCAAAGTCGCGCTCAGCGTAGATCCGCGAATTACTCTGGTCAAAATCTTTATCTGGAATAGAAAAAATGCTGTTTGCATCTTATTTATTACAGGTAATAAAGTGAAAATTTTTATCTGAGTGGCGCGTTACGATAAATAGAGATGTAACCTCGCTGATACGGGTGCGAAAAAAAAATGAATGTTTTAATTAGTGGAGAATGATGCAGTAATAAAAGCGTATGGCTAAATAAAATCGATTTAAAACCGATAATAATCTAAAAATGATGTTAAATAGCCGATTGTAGTGGCATCGGCAGAGTTAAAGTTGGAGCGGTAGGAGGGAATTGGCAAACCATCAGGTCAGTGGACGTGAAGTCAAGGGCAGCTGGCTGGCTATGGTATGGATTGCGGGTTGTCGATCACATTGTAACTGCAATCTTACTTTTATGTAAATATTTTGCTCAGAGGAGGCACATGCGGCAAAAATTTTCTCATTCCCACGTAGTGACCTACCGCGTCCACCCTTATTTAAATTGAAGCGTGAGCCGCATACAGAGCGCTCCTACTTGGAAAACTTGATGCGTCCGCTTAAAAATGCATATAGGTCCGGCGGATTAGTATTGCCAATAAATTGCTGGAAATACTGTTATAAGGTAAAACATGTACACATTCAGCGGAAACCGGTCAACTGAAGGCATGCTCCTCCTCTCCTCGGAATATTCGGTCTTTAATCAGCCAATTTAACACCACGAACTCATTTCACTAGTTTATGGACTCGACGCAAAAACTCCAATTAATTAAAACATTCTCATTATGCTCTATCCGAGAATTAACTCCACTTTCCTGTCAGCCCGAAAAACATAAGGTTATTAACCAAGACGCGAATAACGCGATTTTGAATTAATAAGGTAACATTTTGCTTTCTTTAATTGACGCTTTGATCTGCGACAGGATGCGCTCAAGAATCAGAACTAGGAAATTCGTCGATTTGGTCTACGGTACGCGGTGAGTGGCATTCGAAAAATTTCATCAACCGGTGATGAACTCGAATGAGAAGACAACGGATCGATTATCTATGAAAGAGTGAAACGGACAATCGTTTGATGTAACCATTTTTTAGAGTTTGGCGATAACATCGCGGCTGGAAGCAGTGTGAAACCAAGCTTTGGTTCATCTGGAACGTGCAACAATGGAACCAACAAAGATGTGTGTATTTTAACATCAATATTGTCTCACTGGCATTGACATTTGCGTCAAACCTACACATGAACAAGCACATTAATATTTTTAAAAGCGAATACTGCTTTTCACACAAAATTTTATTTATTTTGTTGTATTTCGACAGGCGGTTTCATCATTAAAACGTCTGGATTTTAGAACAACTCAAGTGGGACGAACTAATGAGATCTGATTTTGCTCACAGAAACGACTACGACTTTAGTTCGTCCGCCTAGAATAGGCAAGTTCAAATGTCAAACATTTTTGGTTTGGCTTTCTACTAGAAAAGGCCATAAGTAACAGCCAAACTTTTATTTTAACCGAGAATGTATCTGCAAAACTTGTTTATTAATTGCATTCTCCATAAAAGGCAATTCTCTATTCAGAAAACCAAAACCCTCTCCATACATTTTTTCATCATTAGTAACAAGACGACAAAGTGCAGTATTATCAAATAAGTGGTACAATAACAATGCAGCAATATGTGTTATCTTCTACAGCAAATACTAATCATTAAAAATACGCGCTCTGTAATCCTTTCTTTTTGGGACGTGATAAATTTTAGGGATTACTCACGAAGTGTATATCATTTCTAGATAAAGCTACTAATTTAACCGAAAATATTTATTATCGGTGTCTCTAGTTACCAATCAAACAACTCAAAGCAGACGATAGATTTTCACGTTTTCAGACCTGCGGTTCCAAAGCAAACCGGTTAGTGCTAATTTGAATTTGTGTAAAAAGTAACATATCCACTGGGAAAATTTTACCGCGCCTATGTTTTTAAGAAGCAACGGCGCTTCTCAATTTTGAAGCGCGAACGACTAAAATTATACATGATAGCTCACATGCCCACAATTTGTAAAAAAACTACCACTAGAATCACTCTAAAATGACTTTTCCCGTTATGTAAGGTTCATTATTTTAGAAATTAAAATAACTGATTTTTTTCATATTCAAAACAATTTAAAAATATGTGGTAACATTTCCGTCAAAATAGTTTGCGTGCATAATTTCAACGCCTAAAGTAGTTTAAGACACATGAACTTGGCCATTGAAACTTATGCGTGAAATCTATTTTAAAATCAAAACAGAGGTATGTTTGTTTGAGAAAAATAAAAAACAGGTTACTGTGGTATGTTTTTGTATAAAATATATCTTTTTATATCAATATTTACAAGTAAGTTTAAATTTTGATAATAAATGGTAGCATAAACTGATAAGCGCTTTAAATAACAACCGATTTTTTTCCAAAATGACCCACTTCCTTAAATACTTTTCCTGATAAAATTAATACAATAAGCAGTCTATGTTCTTTTAGATTTGTAGCCCACCATGACATCATCGGCGATTTTTTAAATATTTTGCTTTATTTTGGTGTCATAATATCATCACTGTTAAGAAATAGCCCCTTATGTGGTTTGTTTCAAGTTTTTAAATGTTGTTCCTTGACATTTAGACTTGAAACGTTAATTGCATACAATTTTTCTTTTCTTTGAAAATACATTTAATACTAATTGTACACGAATTATAATTGGCAAACCAAAGTACCAGTTTTCAACAATCATTAAACAAAAATACAAAAGTGATGTATAACTTCATAATTCACTTCAAGCACTTGTCAAAATATGTGGAATGCCTGTTGAAGTGGATCCGTCAATATTGACAATAACACTAACCCAACTTCGATTTTGGACAAGTGACCCAGGACGACAAACATTGCACAACACTTTTGTTCTACATAAACCCGCAGATCATTTTTTTATTATCCGGTATTAGTAAATTGATAAAATATTTGTCGTATGTATTTTAAAAAATTCATTTGCTGATTTTTTCAGTGTATTTTGTTTACCTGTAGAAATGCACTTAAATTGTTATCTCCACTATTAACATTTGCATTTACATGATTCAGCACGGCTATGAATCAATAACCACCATCATCTCCCAATACGTATATGTTGCATAAAAGTAAAACACGTCATTTAGTTTAAAATAAACTCAAACAAAATTCTTTACATATTTGCAAAATCACTAATATTGTTGCTGCGTCACTGCAGCATTTTGAAATATTGTGTTTGAAAAATACATTTAACAATTGGACATGGAAGTTATCTTTTGTCTAATGTCACTATTATTTGATGATTAATGATGATTGATGATGAATGATGCGTAATTTGTAACATCCATAGTTCTAATGTTTTAACGCAATTCCAATGTTCCTAGGCAAAAAAGTTGCTAATTTATTGTCAGTGCATATCTTAATTGGCGATTTTAATTCGATTTATTGGAAAATTGTCTGTAGGTGGGTAATTATAAAACTTCCTCCGCGTTTCAAACTCGAGACTATGGTGCATAGCGAAAATCGCGCTATAATAAATCCCGCTAACGAGTATTGTTTTAATGTTAAATATAGAACTGGGCCGCCACTAAGTGGTGACATGTTTTATTGTCAATTAGAAATAATCGGAATAAAGTTTTAAAAGCGGAATTCTTGACGTGATTAATAATGTAAATAAATGATCCAACTGTTATTGGATGTTAGAAATATTAGCAATTATTTATAGTGGTTTAATAGATTCAATTGCAAACTGTGTAACATATGTTGTTTATTAATTAAACTGCTTTTTACTCAACGTTGCTGGAACAGTTTTGTGTAGGACATTCTGTATAATTAACAGTAGCAAATATTCATCCAGATTATTTGATATGCAAACATCTAACGGCTAATCTTTATCACTTCCAGCTATAATTTTAATAAAATTTCACTTACATTTAAATATTCAGTTTCATTTAACACCCACGTCGTACAAAGTGGATTGCATTGACTTCGAGCAACACAATAAACAGATTTCCGTATTTTTTTATTAGGGTATTCGCTATTGTTTAATTATAAAAGGTCTGAGCCTGAAACGGTATTCTGCTAATCCTGTTACAGTTCTTTTGACTTTAATTAACAGGTTTTTTATTTTTTATTTATATATGGCGGATTCTGAAGAATTCTGCTTTCTACTTGAATTGTGCTGTGGTTAGTGAAGTCACTAGACGTAACCCACAAGGCTGATTTTTTAATTTTTGTTTCCGGTTGAAGAATACAATTATGAAGTTTTCGAGGAACATCAAAATTGTAACGCGTATTATAAATATTATATGCGATAATGTGAAGTCGTTATCCTATACAAATGAAAATATCATTAAATAACGATCGACTAACAAAAGAAATGGTTTCTAATATCGCCATCTTATTATAAACAGCTCTGTAAGTACCTGGTATTATTCACAAGTCGTTAATATTGGATAGTTATCTTTATGACAAAGTGATAACATTTATAACAAATAATGATTCTAGATTTATTGGCATTAATAAGTTAATAATACGTTTATTAAAGGTTGAGTAATTCCGAAAAGTAAATACTTTTATCTTTTAGCATCTGTACGGTTAATAGTAACTACCAACAATGAATTCGGTATTAAAACGTTTGCGGCAAACTTTATTTTCTTTTTTTAAATTTATATCTCATTTATCTTCATCCTTTACCGTGCACTAAATTTTCACTAACCCCACTGTCATAAGTTTTTACTACGTTTATTTATATATACGTCGATCGTAATCTCATTCTACCTCTGAATGTCTGCAGATTCGCCGTATATCACACTGTTTTTACTTAAAAACGCATATAAGAAAATAGACCGATTATATGTATCTAAGGTTCAAGGACAAGCACCAAAATATCCAGATAGAAATCTAGAGAACACTTGGATAGATAACCGCGTTGTCAAATAAAAATACCACAGCGCTCCAAGATTTTTTCAAATTTACTTCAAAAACATGACAAGGGTTTTCTTAAATGCTTTCAAATTACTTCAAAAACAAAATAAAAGAGGGCCCCGAGACTCTAGAAGCTACTTCAAATACCAAGCACAAAGGGCCCCCGAGATTCTTTCAACCTACTTCAAAAACCAGACACAAGGAGTCCCCGAGATTCTTTCAACAACACTTCAAAAACAAAACACATAGGGTCCTCGAGATTCTTTCAACCTACTTCAAAAACCAGGTACAAGTGTTCCCTGAGATTCCTGCAAACTACTTCAAAAATAAAAACAAAAAGGGTTCCGAGATTGTTTCAAATTACTGCAAAAACAAGAGATCACGGGCATTATTGGTTGCATATATACGTCTTCAAATCATAAAATTCTTCTTGAACTGAGACTAAAGTAAGCTAATAAAATAAATGAAGGTGTACCGAGTCGACACTCTGTTAGTAATTTTGAAAAAATAATTTAGCTCAAAACTGCTGCAATACAAAAATCTGAAACGTTGTCTGATTAAGAAGTTCCGCGACAGTTTTTGTATAATTTTGTTCTGATATTTTGGCGATTTGACGATTCTGTTCTAAATGCACAAAATGATGATACATACACGAATTTAAGAAAAACAATAAAGTTTTTTTTCGTTTAAATAAATACTAATTATAGAAGTGCTGTCTCAAAATTCTAGGAAAATTACGAGATTGGTTTCTGAGGAAAACAATTAAATAAATTGTCACTTAATATTTTATCTATTAATTATTAATAAAAATCTAAAAAATGACTCCGTCATCCACATAAAAACATTGATCCAAGTATCTTTGGGCAAAATTTCCCTCGCCCTGGAAATACAGTACAACATAACCAACTTTTTCGAAAAATATACAAAAGGAGCATACTATGCATATATTTTAGGTTACTTTTTCCATTACAAAATTTTGTGATGACATTTAACATTTTAATAAGGACATGCGTATCAATTTGAAGAGGTGCAGCGTACAACTAATAATAACAGTATTGTACTCCGAAACTCTTGATTTGGATAAACGGATAAATTTTTATTAACAATTTACCATAATTGTATGTTGTTTTATAAAATTTTAAAAATATTTGAGAAAATTTGAATGGGAGAGCAACTAGGCTTGGATCTTGGATCTCGCGTCCGCCTATACAGCTAGGTACGGACTAATGTAAATAATATTTATATAAAACCATGCACAATTTTGAGGTGACGTCAACTGCATGATTTCGTACACACATAAAATTTAGCAATATTCCGGTGGTTTCGGAGATTATCAGCTAATAAAAATCGACAAAGGCAGACAAACAGACGGAAACGAGAGGCCTGTTTTTCATACTCTATCATGAAACATGGAGAAAACATGATAGTAGCCATTCATTTGATTGAAATATAAACATGTTATTATACAGTTACGTTTTCATTTTTTAAGAATTAAAGTTATTCAAATCTAGAACAACTAACTCAAAATGCAAAAACATGGATAATGAATATGTATCAAAGCAGCTCAACTAAACAATAACAAAACAACGTATTTCAAAACAGTTCTTCGTATGAGAACTCCTATCTCATTAATTGAACTATGTTTTCTGTAAAACCACTCATTACAATCATATCAGCACAATTTAAGAGGATATCAGTAGATAACATTTAAGCACCACTCGATCGATAAATTGCAGAAAGATAACACGCCAATATCGCTGACTGGTTGCAGCAACCATGTATGAACGTACGTATTGCTGGTTGCATATCCAACACTAGTAACCTTGAAAGTATAAAAAATAATTATAATATAACGCGGATTATGTCCTTATATGCACCTATTTCGATGCAGCGTATCTCACTTTGCTACTGCAACGTAAAGGACACTCGTTCTTATTTTATAACCTTGACATGAAAATAACGAACCTGTTTAATATGTACACCACTTTCAAGTCAACAAAAATTTTAAATGTCAGCAGTAAGTAACATTCTGTTTTTATGCACTAAATTTTACCGACATCCGGGTGCAGAAAGTGAATCTGGGAACACCGATGTTTTTTGGAAATTGTTCACAGTGAAAGCATTTCCGTTTGTGGATAATAATTAACGTAAGCGGAAGGAGGCAGGGTTAGATTTTAATCGAAAATATACAGCGTGGCAGGGAACTGAGTGTTCATGCCACGTTAATTTATTAATACATTTTGCAACGTATATATTTATATTAATTGATTAATGAATTAATTAATTAATTAATACAGTAAAAAATGAAGCGGACAGTGACAGAAACAACAACACAGAAATTTAGTATATGTATTACCTTCGAACAACAACGGCTTCAACCTAAACGAATGAAACAACTTTAATGCAATGGATTTAACAAAATCGGTGATAAAATTTATTTGCTCATTGATATAGATATAAAGATTAGCACTTCCTGAATAAATAATTAACGCACCTAGGAACGTATGACGTAGGTGCTTTTGACACAATTTATGTCTGTCTTTGTTTAAATTACATGTATCAAGTTAAAGACATTACGGTAAATGTGCGCTAAACAACGGTCGTTTATTGTTATATCGTTCACGTATCACATACATTATACATTACATTACTTAAATTCGTTTATGTAATACAATGCATAATCAGATACGTTCACTGAAATTTTAATTTAGGAACGATTGTCTTACTCAAACTGTTTATTTAAAAAGATTACGGAAAATCGTCATGGATAATTTTGGTTAACAACATTTTGAGAATTTTTTTGTAATGTGTGTTTTCCTTACGTCACTTGATCCCTCTTTGTCATTTTTGTTTACAGTTTGATTATCTTTATGAAAAAATCGCGATGATCTAATATCGGTACCATACATCATACATATCCAACGAACTGCTACTATTATTATTATTATTATATTTTTTTCATTGCATAGTATACAAAGCGGATATTTCTACACTAGACAATGAAATCAATATCTTGCAATTTATGCAAATTTAGCTCTAATAAGATTCGAGTGAAACTTTTGCCTATATTGAGATTAACAACACTGCTTTGAACCCAAAACACACAAGCACTAAGCCTTGAAGAACTACACCTTACTTTCAAACAGCTGAAAAATATTGCTATTGTATTTTACGATAATTGAGTGTCGAAGGTAAGCAGTAAATGTTGCACTAGATTAATTTGCATGAGCTTCATTTACGACTGTTGAGAAATTTTTACGGAACGTTTGTTGCATGACGTCATAATAATAAGACATTACTCTTGTCAACAACGTAAGAACAGTATAAGCAACCACAACTTTGTTGCACCGTAACATAAATTGCATTATAATAAGTGGTTTGAAGATTTCCTGTATAACTTTGAGATGCGGAACTTCTAGTACTTTTTCAGTGTAGGGTAATCAAAATAACTTACCCTCATCATCTCTTGGTACGTTATTTGCTGGTTCGACGTCCGGTTTAGCTGTTTCGTTATTACTGGTGTCATTATCAGCGTTTTCTACAATGACGATAGGTGTTGAACTGATCGGTGATCTAAATTAAAATTCACGTAAGAGTTTTGTTTGTAATCTAGTTATTATATTACCTATTCAGACTTGAATCTTGAGAGCCTTCTTCTTCAACTTCCCCGATTGTCGCCAGTTGAGAAGATAAACTCCACTTCGAGCTATATACATCAATATCGGTATTATAAACATCCAAATTTGCATCGATATCATCATCTCCATAAAGTTCGTTCTTTAGATAATCTGTGTCCCTGCGCTCATTTTCTAAAAATACGTTAATAATCTCAACCGGATTATCAAAATTGTCCCTGGTCGTGGATTTAGGAACAAAGTCAACCAAACGTGGTAAGTTAGATATGTTCATATTTTCATCATGAATGTTCGGAAAATCTTTACACCCATTCATTTTATGAGCGTTGATTAGATCACGGGATCGCGGTGGTACCGGTGGTTTTTTCAATACTTTGTCCTCGCCGTTGGAAATTTTTGTAGGATTTTTCTCACCATTTACATTATGTTCCACGTATTTATTATTCATCGTTTTTTTATCCTCACACATATTAATTTCATTCGATTTCGTTTCTATTATTCTCATGTCCTCATTTCCGTAACTAAGAGGAGCATCTTGAAAGCAGGATGGAGGTTGCAGTGGAGAACCATCTTCATTGACGCTTGTTGTTTTCTCTTCAACTTTTTCATTCAAATCCCCGTTTTTGACAACATTTTGTTTAATAATATTTCTGTTTAACGGTACCACGAAGTCTTCGTCGTCGTACGCGTTCAATAAGTTCGTGAAGTCAATTTGTTTTTGTACTGATGTAGGTGTGGACGGTAAACTTCCTGCTAAACTTGAAGTTGTTGTAGTTGGGAAAGAACCAAATCTGTCAACAACTGTAGATATGGAACTTCCTGTATCGTCCGACTCGCTTAAACTTTGTGTGGACTCTTGCGAGAACAGATCTACGTAAACTTCAGCATCTGGAGGTCCTAAACTCCCATCTGAGAATCTTCTGTCTCGGCGAGGAATGTCAGGAGAATGCGACGCTCGCCCGCTACTTCTTGGTGATTGGAATTTCTTATTCTTGTTGCCGTTGACTTCTGAGTTGATCTGGCGAGCCGCTGGTACCGGGTTTTCGTGTTGTACGTTGTTCTTGTAAAACTTCTTCGGAATTTTTCTCGGAGGTACTGGCGGTGGCGGTGGAGGAGTTCTTTTCTTCTCGGCGCTTATAACTTGTGGAAGATCTTCTACCGACTTATTATTGTCTTTACTTCCCGTACTGAAATGTTTCACTAACAGTTTGATAACGACGTTTGAATCTTTAAGACACCGCACACAATCGATTCTAGTCATAGTGTTTACGGGCATACAGTCGATTTCGAGCACTTCATCACCTTCCGTTAACTTCCCCCAAGAACTCTGGACTCGCGAGGCTGGACTGTCTGGAGCACATGACTGGATAAATAAACGTTTAACGAACTCATTTGCTTTAGTGCCGCCTTCGAACTTCAAACCAAAACCCAAACGTTCACCTGGAAGTCTGTACACAAGAACTTCGTCGATTATGTCTTTTGTAACACATTCTTCATCACTGTCACCTATGGTAAGTACTGTAACGTAGCCCGAATTGTTAGAATCGGGGGAAAAAGAGTCACATTGTGCAGAAGAACGGGTTGTTTCGGACCCCACGGATACCACAGTTACGAAGTTTTCTTTCTGGTCTGGAGGGAATGTTGTAGGTGCTTCCATACTTCCAAGTTAACGTGCGAACATCTTCTGCAAAATATTTGATTTAGTAATCGCGAATCGTGATGTCACACTATTCAAAGTATGCGAATGATGAGATGACACACCAAATATAAAAATGTGTGGTAGAAATAGTTTTTTGTAACCGGTTCTTTCTGTTAACAACGCGCTATCTAAAATTGTAATTTTGCGCGCGGGTACTTTCTGGAGTACTGTACGACAAAAACAAGAAGCGATGATGTTGCGAATTGTTTCTGTTTTGCTGCATTTAATGAAATGTAGATCAACAGGAGGCTGATGTTATGGAGAGCAGGCCACGAATATTCTAACGGTATAAAATTACAGATATGTGTAAGATTGGAGGTTGTGCGATGGTACGTGAAGTGACGTAGGGTGACAATGGATATTACCAGATCCTTACCCTAGGGACTCCCGAGCACATTTCCCAAGACTTGTTTATGATAGTGATACGGGACACTCGCGCGGAGATTGTAAACAACTGTTTTCACGTTTTCACCTCTCACAGAGTCCCACTTCAAACACCTGACCTCGTGTGGGTCCGCAGGTCTTCGTCTGCATCGACATTCATACCTGAGGGCAGGGGCCATATTAATTACCGAAGCCAAACCTGTAAGAAAAATTTTAAAATAAGGTCTGCCGATGTACAACCATAACATAGACAACGCGGGTCATGTATAATTAGAAAATTCGCGGTCTAGGCTCTGCGGGATCGGTAATACTGAAAATTTAGAAAGGCTTGTGAAAGTAGTTCTCATCTCATGACTTCTATTATTGTGTCAATGGGTTTCAGGCATAAAATAGCTGTAATACGCAGATAAATTATAAGAAACTGCATACCATCGAGCCTAATGGTGTGATTGGGTTAAATGATTGCACTGGGCTTGCTCCTTTTAGGTGTTCTGATACCGTTAGATTCACCTGTATATCGAACACATCAACGCAACTCTCTGTAACGCAATTTAACATGTTTTGTCATTTTATAAACGCAGTACAACAATGGACTAACTGAAAGTGCTAGAACTAGGGGAACATGCTCATTATTCATTGATGACACACCTTGAATACTTGCAAAAATACATTATAATACCGATGCGTACCTACCACCAGCAACGAAAGTACCCCAATTATTTAAATTACTGTGACATCTCTGAATATAAATATTAATAAACTTTCTCTAATAGTTTAATTTCCATCAAATACCATACTGGCACACTTTGGGGTTGATGTGCTTTATGCTTTTTGTAGATTATTGACGCTGCTTTTTTAGAATACCGAGTTAGCACTTTCCATATTCATATTGTTTAACCTTCATTATTCCTTTCTAGTTGTTTTGTTTTATTATTAGTGGTACACGAAAAATTACCCAAACATGTCATGGTACAGTTACATCTTAGTTAAACTGATGAGATAAGAGTTGTTATTGCCAACCATCGTTTAACAGTTAGTATATATTATAGTGAAAAGTAATATAAGGTATTTTGAACTCCAAATGAAAATGACTTTCTGCCAAGTTAACGTTAAATTACCTGATTCAAATATTGTCACTGCATTTATTTGGAATGAAGTATACGTGTAGTGTTTAACCGAAAACGGGTATATAGTTAATAGATTAGGTCTAAGTATTGTATAAATAAAAACATGCGGATATTTAAGGTTATTTACTAACAGTTTGCACAAACGCCATTACACACCTGTGCTTATTGTGTTTTTCCATTTTACCATACGTGCTACACTTCCGTCGTCATTATATTTGATGCTGCTTTATTCGTCTTTGTACCAAATAAAGTCAATAAACTCAAACACAAACAAAAATTCCATTTCGATTTACATTTTAACTTTCAACGAATTTATTTGTTATGATTTTATTCACTTTGTTTTGCAAATATGAAATAACTAAACCGTTACGCTGACGCAATCATTTTTATTGTCTGTTTTATTTGAGTAATGAACATTATGCAGGTTTCCACATTATTGTAATTATGATTTCATCTATGAAAATGTTTCAAAACTGTATTATAGTCGAATATTAAAATGAGCGCACATATTTGCGTAATGCCATAAGCTATTCCGCAGGAATTTACAATTTAATTGTACACATATTTAACAAGAAAGATTATCTCCTTCACACAGAGTAGCTTAACTTTCATCTGGTCTGCAATTTCTCATGATTTACGATTAAAACCGTTAAATCAAGTTTTTTGAAGATTACAATCATTCATGATCGCGTATCCTTTAGAGCTGTAGTTGTGATAACATACTTCGTGTAGTGCAATAAACTTTGAACATTTCACCTCTTTGACCAAGAGTAAATAATATAAAAATACAAAGAAAAGCTTTACTTTATTACTTGCCGTTACTAATAAAGAAAGTAGCTCAACTCAATCTTCACATATTTTCTAACATGGAAAAGGATGAAGTTTTTCCAGAGATGTTCGCTTTAGTTGATTTTAAAAAAAGAAATCTGAAATTATGATTTAACAGATTAATTTACCAAAGAGGATTCAAATATTCGTAGTTTAAAAGCGAGCGTAGCGAGCTGTTTGTGTCCAGTCGGTAATTTTAATGATTTTTTAAAATGAGGTCATAAGTAAAGAATGTTGGTAGCTCCTTCAACAAGTCCGAGATACAATTACATTTTATATAATAAAATTATATAACTAGATACTCTACAATAATTGTCAATGTTATCAAGTTATCGTTAATAAAGCAAATAGATATATTTTTAGATCAAAATTTACACTTCATATGTAAAAAAATACTTCGTTATCTCTATTCTACAAAGGTAGGGAACTTACCTATTTTCCTCGTGCATTAAGATTACGTTTTTTGTTCATTTTTACTTTCAACTTTTTTATTGTACTCTTAAATACCTTTTTTGTTACGGAATTTATTGTTCTGTAGCAACTGCCCTCCTTTTTTATTCTCTTTTATTGGAGTTTTATACACGTACATTACCGCTTTTACACCAGTTCTGCATTTGTCGCTCCTATTTGTGCAATGGGCGTTGCTAATTCAACTTGACTTAAGTAAAATCGGACAGAAACGTGTTATGATATACTTAAAAAAAAAACTCAATTAGCCATTGGAATTTATACCTCTACGTACGGTTGGTCTGGAACCTTGATGCAGTCAAGGTTGTTTAAGGCTTGATATTTTATGCGTGATAAAATCATAACAATTAAATTTAAAGTGACCCGTTTATTCACGTTCGGATTTAATATTTTTTTAATTTTTCTTTCTATTTACTAAATTTCTTCTCATCAGCGAAATGGCTCTTTGTGTATGTAACTAGTGTGCGAAAGAGTAATTCAGGACGAGAGAATGAAATTTTACTAACTAGGGACTACCATTTTTATTTTGTTTATAATGCGTTTTTAAAACTTTTGTGGTCATTGTACTTTCCTTGATTCATTGTTTTAGATAGGAATATTTATAGTTTACATAATTATGTTGACAGAAAATTCGTAAATTTTGTAACGTTTTCTATACATGTGCGACATTCTCTTGTCTTTGTCTTTTATATTCCTTTACTATTTTCGAATAATGTATTAGCCACAATAAAAATCCGTTTATTTTATTCTCGTTATTTATTTCATCTCCCTTTCGCTCCCTTGATGTCTAATAATAGAAACATTAATGTCAAATTGCTGCTTCCTACTTCAAATTTATTTATTAGTGCTTTGTCGCTATCCGCACAAGTGTTATTTGGTTTTCACTACTTTTTATTATTTTATTTATTTATTACTTATCAATGACAAACTCTTGTGTGTTATCTACATTTCATTCTCAAATAGCACTTCCGGGACTCAAAGTCTGCAGTTAAGCAACTTAACAAAAAATTACATTGTTATAGTACCTAGTTATTGTGTGTATGGCATGATTAAGTTAGCTTAGTTGAGATAAAAATAAGCTAGCTCTCTCTTTCTCCAGTCTTAATTTTTCCTTTTCCTGTGTCTTATTGTCTTACTAACAATGATTCAAAAGTGTATTACCTATAATGTATACATTAATGACAAAATATACTTGATTTGTAATCTAATATGTTACACTAATTCAAAACAGGGCTTAATCATTAATGTTGGTTAAACTTTGACACATGATATAGGTATCAAAGCTTTAACATCCTTAATCGTCGGCATTTTAAACTAAATCACATGTTGTTTTATCGTTTAATCGCTTTTACAATACTCAGTACTTAGCTTTATAGTAACTTAAGCCTGACTAAGAAGTGATGCAATTTTAAAAATTTAGTTAACAAAAACTTATGTAATAAAATATTTCCAGCGCCAAAATATGAATGATTATAGAGAGAATCGCGCTCAATCGTGGGTATTTACGGCCGCTAGTAGAAGATGGCGCCACTAATCGGAACATTTGCGCATTTTAGTTCGCTGCCAGAAATGAGATTTGTTTACGTCGATTCGATGTCTTAAGTTGTATTATTATCCGTATAATTCGAGCTGTTCAGACACTATTTGACCTCTAGATGTCATCGTAATATTACTAAAGGGCAAACCTTTCATTTAATAAGGTCATTTCTAAATATGGAGTCTCCATGGCTCACCATTTTGAAGTGAAAACGGATGTTACATGAACTTGTATTATGAAGTTTTATTATCTTGATGCTATGATTAAATATACTTGATTATTTATAAAATCGTACCCTTTTGAATTTAGTTGGATAGTGGGAGGAGTTACTATTGTTTGATTGGTGAAACTCGCTCCCCCTCCCACTTTGAATGACGGAGGATGCCATGCTACTCCCCTCCAGCGTCGTTTTTTGTGCTGTTGTCAGTTGTCAAGTATCCAAGAATGATCGCCTTCAATTTGTGTTTGTTTTGGTAGTTCAGATTTAAAATATGTATTTTTAACTTTGTGCAGAGTTTATTGGCCAGGATTCAACAGTAAATAAAGGTAAGTTTGTAAACATAATATTTATTTTGATTATCAGAAAGAACGGTTTTCCCCTGTTGATTAAATGATCAAAGCGGGATAGGCTTTTGCAAAATTGGCAAATATAAATAGCAGCAGCTATTTGTTCCAACTTGTTTTTGTTAAAGTTCATCGAGTTTTACTTTCGTGCAAGCGTTTTGCAATATTGTGGAACTAATAGTTCACTTTCACCGAATTTCATAATAGGTAACAATATGTCGTCAATAAACATTCACTGTTGCTATCATAAACCAGATTAACAAATGACGTGAACCTGAAAAAATTTCGTTGTAGATCGGTGCACGGACAATGGATTCATTCTTAAGTCTTTTTGATCCCAACAACTGCAACGACAGTGCAGACGACTTTGCAATAGGAAATCTCAACAACCAAAAGGCCCTCCCGCCAGAACCCCAAGTCGGCAACATTGAGTACAAATTGAAAATCGTAAATCCAACGAATCAAAGATTTGAACACCTGGTGACACAAGTAGGTATATTGTTTCATCATCAGTAAATCCCCTAAATGTTGCATAGTTGAAGTGGCGACTACGCGAAGGCAATGGCGAAGCCATCTACGAAATCGGCGTTGAAGACAGTGGTATTTTGGCGGGACTGTCCCAATGGGACATGACCGCTAGTCTACAGACTCTTCAACAAATGGCCCTGAAGCTGGGAGCAACAACAACAATTCTCAGAGAACGCACTCTGGACAACGGTCGCAGCGTTGCAGAAGTTCTAGTGAGAAAGATCCCTGATGACCAAAACAACATTGAAGTTCGCGTAGCTGTATTGGGAAATGCGGATGCCGGTAAATCAACCTTACTGGGGGTCCTTACACAGGGAAGTCTCGATAACGGGCGCGGAAGAGCAAGGCTGAACATGTTCAGACATCTACATGAGATTCAGAGTGGGCGCACTTCTTCCATTTCACATGAAATATTAGGGTTTAACTCTCAGGTCAGAATACCTTTGGAATCATAGGAACAGGTTTTAACTGTGGTTTATAGGGTCAACCGATCAATTATAGCTACAGTGAGTTGATAACAGCTGAAGAAATTTGTGACAGTTCTACAAAGCTGGTAACATTCTTGGATCTTGCTGGGCACAAGAAGTACATCAGGACCACAATCCAGGGTCTCTCTGGATATTCACCACATCATGCTATGCTTGTAGTAAGTATAAAAACCGACAGAGACGGAAGACAGACAGACGGAAACGGGGGTCCCCTTTTCGTCTGTCTGTAGAAAACATGAAAGTAGATATTCGCCGGATGGACCCAATTGGCTTACCCTCGGGAAGTAAACCAGTAGGTCGGATGAATCAATTATGTTGATTGTTTACTTGTCAAAAAAGTAGGGTTACAATCGCGTGATATTCGCGCCAAATTAAACCCTTATTTTTTCATTGTTTTATCTACTTCACTTCTATACATACCACTGTAGATCGCTATTAACGATTGTTTTGTATGGTATTTATCTCTACATTCGTTGACAATGAATGGTTTTATGTTATCAATAAGATCTCGCCAGATTATAATATAATTAAATTGTTTTTCACGAAAGTTCGATTTTTATCGTACAAATTCTATGATCTAAAAAAAGCATTAGGTTTAAGTGTTTACACCTTTTCGAAATGGGTAGATGGCGCTACTTTGTGTAGGTCAAAACTAAATTCACTTGAATTTCAATTATTGCGCAATACGGTGAAAAGGACTGGGTTGGTATATAAATACATATAAATAATACGCAAATAAATAATGCAACAACGTCGCGTATGTAGGTATATATATTTTTTAATTAAGTAGAATCTTCTGTTTCTGTCGAAACTGAAAGACGAAAAATTGGATTGGGATCGTTACGCCTTAATCATACTTTTCAATTATTTATGAGCATCATTACATTTTATTGTCGTATGTATTTCATAATTATTTGGGTCAGAAGGGCCATAAAAACAGCATAATTGATTTTCTACTACCGTCATAACTAAGTTTTATCGATATTGATGTGTATATTTGTTTTTTAAATTGTCCACGGCTGAAAGTTAATTGCCTTAAAATACGGGGTGACCAAAGCGGTCCCACATATTGTGGGTACACACGAAAGAGTAATTACCTTTTTGTTTACGATCATCACCGCTATCCTTAGAAGGCGAGGATAATAGTTCAAGAGAGCCAGTATTGTATAGATCACCAGACTCAGGAATGTGAAAAGTTGCAGTCCTTAATGATGCTTAATGAGACGCCATATTACCATGTGGTCCATTCCGTCCCCACGTCTCACGGGTACTGATTGACCTTACAAAATTCAGAAAGTTGACCCTCGGGGTCGAAAACCTATATGAATCAGACTAAGAACTTGTCCGGTTCGAAGGGTCAGTCTTTGAACCAAGTACTTTGAGATTCCTAGACTTGATTCCAGTTCTCCTATTCCGCACCTTGCGACAATCGGACAACAATATGTTTCATACACTTCCCTCTGAGTCTTTTGTACCAGATAATTGACAAGCAGTTCCGAAGTTGGTTCTAAGTTACACCAACTCGAATTTGGAGTTGATTTAATAAAAAGAGGTTACGTGTTTGCATTATTGACCTATTAAGTTACGTCAGATCGTTAACTATACCGGATAAGGTAATACCGCCTCTCGTAGGTCCCCTTTACTCTGTTAAACGAGGTATCACTTTGACAAACATGATAAACTCACTTTGAGAAGATGTTGCGCGGATCTTAACTTACATATATTCATTTAAGTAGGTAAACACGTCGCGCCGTGATTTATAATGCGGAATTTTTATCATATTTTGGTACAATCCCAAACATATAATTTTTTAACCTTCGTAGTGCGAATTGCGTTTAAACACAAGTGAGGACGAACGTGATTTACCTAGAAATTTCAAGTATTTTTCTTATGTAGAACTTGTAGCCATAATGATGAAGATTAGTTTGGATTAGTTTTGCTATCACGTATCATTTAATCCTAACATAAGTAGTACATATATCGATTTATGAAGTCATGTACAACGTGGACAGTACTTAGTGTTAAGAAAATCATTTCTTATTTGCTAGTGACAAACCATTGAATTCTTGTTTTCACAACATATTACTGTTTAAATAAAACTCAGGACACCGGATTTCCGACGTTTACATTATTTTGACCCGATTGCATTAATTATAAGTGATATTCATCGCCAAGTTATTTTGCACTATTCATTCCTTTCCAGATATCCAGCACTGCAGGAGTGGTGGGGATGGCTCATGAACACCTGGCAATAGCAATAGCCCTAAACGTGCCATTTTTCATAGTCATAACGAAAATCGATTTAGTTTCACCTACAAATACTCTTCAATCTCTCGAGTCATTTTTGAAACAAGTGGGCAGTCGACGTGTGCCGCTGGTAATTAAAAGTCTGGATGATGTCATAACGGCTGGTGCAAACCAACTAACAGAAAATGTAGTACCTATATTTTGCGTATCAAGTGTGAGTGGAGAAGGGTTGGAGCTTCTCCTGAAATTTCTTCATGTCTTGCCACCTGGGATAAGTGCCAAGGAGAAAGAGCGTTTGGAACAAGAATCTCCCGAATTTCAAATCGACGAAAATTTTAAAGCTGGTGACGTGGGTCAGATAATCGGAGGGTTGTTGACTAAGGGCGTTATAACGGAGGGAATGCAGATGCAGATTGGACCACAGAAAGACGGAAGTTTTCAGAATGTCATGGTTAAGTCGATTCATCGGAATCGAGTACCGTGCCGAATGGTCAGGGCTGGCCAGAGTGCAGCACTATGTCTGAATAGTTACATCCGCGGGTTGAGAAATGGAATGGTCTTGCTAAAGGCAGATTCCAGTGCGAGAGGGTGTCTATTCTTTCAGGCAAGCGTATCGGTGTTGTTCCACGCTACTGCGATTTATCAGGGGTACCAAACCACCGTCCACATTGGGAATATTCGACAGACGGCGGTGGTGGTGGGCATTTTTCCTTCCAATTGTATTCATACCAATGAAAGAGCGTCAGTATTATTTAAGTTTAAGGTACATCCGGAGTATGTCACTGTAGGACAAAGACTGCTATTCAGAGAAGGCGCTGCCAAAGGCATTGGTGAGATTACACAAGTATTTCCGCTTCCATACAAACCAGAATCAGAGTAAACAAATATCCAATTTTAGAGTAATTTTTAACTGTTACAAATTAACATAGGAGAAGTACTTAAAAGTAATGTTTTTAATCTCACCATTGACAAATTTATTTTTTTATTTGTTAATTTAATTTTAATAGACGTGATTTTATTTATTTAAATTAAGTAAAATATATGTATTTGTAAGTGTATATAAATTTTAAAAGTTCAAAATTTTTAAAAAACTCTTGATGTTTTTAAATCAACATTAATAATGTACAAGGAGATCTAGTACAAAATTAGAGTCATGTAATGACAAAATCTGTGATTGTAATTTAAGAAATTTTGTAGTATCAGTGTTATCTAATTGCACATCTCTTGTAATTTATATTCAAAGATCTCTGTCATACATAAATATATGTTATACCATACAACCCGTCGATTTATATTGTAAGTCTCCACTCTATTTACTACATGTATTTACTGATTACTGTACCGTTCTGATTTTGGTACCCATGTTGAGAGGATGCTACTATCTGAGGAAAATGGTTACGCTGGAGTGGACAAAGTAGGAAATAGTATGATCTTTAAAGAAGCGATTTTCCGTATTCCGAAAATATAGTACCTAAAGTTACGAGATGTTCTTTTAAGTGGTGTAGTTGCCAACCAAACAACATACTCTTGAGGTTTGAATCAAAGTAGTTAGTAATATAAATAGAAAATAGACTTGAGAGTGGAATTTTTCTGAAACATTCAAGCACTATGAAAATATTTTGGTCCAGCAACTTTCGTTGGACATTTAAGGGAACGAAATTCTTGCATAACCTGTTTACTGGACTTTTTTGTTTTCGTTGACATTCTAACGATAACAAATAGTTCCTAACTAGTCTTAACTACCAAAAACCAGACATGCACACTGAAGCAGTTTACGATAATAGTGTTTATTGCTGCAATTCAGGGATAATTATTTAAGAATGTTGTGCGTAGAGCATCGTTCAAAGGTTGAACTTTTATGGTTACATGAGAAACATTTACTTATAATGTCACTCATTTGAGTTACACAAACTTCAGGTTAAGTAAGGTTCAACGAGCAAATTTTCTTTTTGCACAAAAGGAAATAAAAAAGATACAGAGTTTGCAGAGTTGGCTATGTTTCTTGATTGCGCGCCTTTTACAGGTATGCCATCTAGTGCGAATCTTGCACACTATACATGAACGAAAAGTATTACCAGTTTGTCTTTATTTAACTAATACAACAAAAGGAGCATAGCGCACTGCGATATGCGATATGTTTTTCCTGTTCTAGATGGCGCTAACCATATCGTTTTGCGTTCTATAAACTGGCACAATTTAAACTTTATTATGTGTAACAGTTTAAAATCACAAAATAAAAAAAACAATTTTAGTAAGTAGTTGTGTTACAAAAACAAATTTTACGTTGGCATCGTTGGTTAGGTGTAATAATAATTTTTTTAGACAATGTAAAATCCTAACAATTAGGATGTGAATGAAGTTGTGATTATATTATGTCTAATATTCAATTAGATATGCAAACCAAAAAAATCATTTTAACAAAAACGCTCAAAAGTCAAAATGCGTTATTCGTTATTAGATACAATTATTTTGTATACTATAATTAAATTTATTTTTTTTTAATCAATCAATAAGCACAAACAATATAATATATTCAATCCCAAAGTGTCTATAAAATCCATTATAGGTGCCTCCGTTACATCGAACGGCATTAGCGCAGAAGTTAAAGCGTCGCGCTCTGAACACGTGCATTCATTTACTGCGTGTTCGAATCATAAAGCGCAAAACATTTTTCATAGCGATAGAATATTTTCGAAAATAAAAATTTCAAAACGAATCCAAAAATTCAAAAAAATTTTGAAGGCCTTATGTTTACAGAGCTGTAATGCTTTAACTGTATTATTTTTCGCAGATGAGAGGTTTAAACTAATCTGTATTTAGATAGTATCTAAATAGAGGTACACTAAACTAATATTAACAAAATACACAATCGTAGATTGTAATACTTGGTCCAGAAGTAAAAAAAGTATTGTTCGTTTTTATCGGTTTTTATGACGAACATTTCCAACATTTGATTTGAAAGTCAAAATTTTCTACTTACCTTTTCTAAGTAATTATTAAAAAACAACAACATTCTCACAAAATTTGTTCGATTTATTGAGTAAGTGATATAAAATTTAAATAGAATTATTTAAAACAACTGCAACATTTCTGTACAGTATCTTGTTCTAACGCAATATGTGCAGCCGTCAAAAATACGTCTTGAACTCGCATCATATGCTTCGCGGAACACTCAATATAGTTCCGAGCCTTAATTTTTTTCGCCATTTTCATTCCCTCTTCATAGTTAACCGGATGCAAGTCCCTTGTCTGTAGCGCTTCCACACTTCCTGTGTTATTCCGCAAGTCGAGTTTATTCCCAACTAGTATCAAAGGAACTTTGCGACAGTAATGTTTCACTTCAGGTGCCCATTTCGCCTCTACGTTACTTAATGAGATTGGGTTATCAATAGCAAAACATACAATAATAACACTGGCATTTGCATAAGATAGAGGACGCAGGCGGTCGTAGTCTTCTTCGCCGGCGGTATCCCACACCGCTAACTCAACGTTTCGGTCTTCCACCAGCACAGTCTTGCAGTAAGTATCGTAGATCGTCGGAATGTGGTCTTCAGGAAACTCATTTTTACAAAAAGTGACCGACAAGCACGTTTTCCCGCACGCACCGTCACCAATTACCACAATTTTTTTGTGGACCATACTATGCGATTTTGAAGTGATGCACTGCGCACATCACGGTTGACCGTATCTTACTTATCCTTATCAGGTAGTGGCATTATCACTGACTGCTGAATGTTTTTTGGAAATACCACGTGTTTATTTACGTTTGTGTATTCAGGTAGAAGATACGGATCTGGGCAAATAAGGGTATTTGCACAAGTTTGTACTGTCCAAGGCACCAAAGTCTGTGGAGATCGACAGTGACGTGATTTGTGACTTTACATCAAATTATCTTGAATAAGAGAATTCTAGTTTTTGTGGACGGTTCCAAATTGTGATAATTTTGTTAAAATTTCTCACGTGCGTTATCGCACAACTGTCTTATCGCTGTTTCTTCGAATTTGCGATCAAGTCGTTAGGAAAGTTTACACCCCGTCAAGGATTTCTCAAAACCGTTATCAGTTATTGATGAAACGTCACACTAGTTTTCGAATAAACTTCGTTTTATTTAAAAATGTAATACGATGTTTTATAAATCGATGCACGTAATAAGGATGAATTGGCACAAATCTTATTTCGAGAGAAATGGCCTAATGATGTCCTTTTCAGTATCTTTTGTAATGCGATTGGTTTGGAAATCTGTTTTTTATTGGTAAATTAGGGTAAGCGTCTTCAAAGCAATCGCTTGTGCAGTTTGAAACGGTGATAAAAATTTGCAATTGATTGGATTTGCTTTGAAGTTGAGTGCTAGTATAGAAGGTAATTCCATGTTTGTTATTAAGTGAGGCATCAAATTAGCGAATTATTTTTAGCCTGTGTCGGCACGACTGAGCGCTGAAGCACCTAAAGTATTATTCAAATTCTGCTTAAAATTACGAGGGGGTTTAGATTATCTGAAAATGGGTTTTTTGAAAATAATTGTAACACTTACCTGGAGGTGAGCTCTGGCGGATAGAGAACTAGTATTGAATTAATGCCGTTTCTTATAAAGGAGAGGAATTGGGTGAAATGAAAGAGAAGTTGAGTGTTGGTATATATTGACTACATTTTTTCAACACAGGTTTCAATAATACAGGAGCGGTAACTGGAAGCACATAGCATGCTGACCGGACATCACACATAACTAGACCAGTTATTGTCCCATTGCATCGACTAGATGTAGCAGCAAAAGCCAAGGAACACATAAGTGAACAATTTCGCCTAATTTAAACAATCTCATAAAAGATAAGAATGGTTCTATCAAAATAGTATTTTTTCCCAAACAAATATGCATATCGAAGCTCACATGAAAGCACCCACGATGATGTATAAATATAAATTTATTGTCTAAAATATTGTCTGGATATGTAATATCACTTAATTTTTATGATTCTCCGAGATGTAGAGATATGTTTATGACTATTTAAATTTCATGTGAGCCCATAATATTTTTATTTGTGTCATTAATCACCCAAAAATCTTCAACCAACGACAATGCTTCCGGAAATAACCGATGGGATTATTTTTAAACCTTAGATTTCTAAAATTATAATTCTATTGACTAAATGTAGTACTGTTTCTCTTATCTTCTAATATCACTGTGTTTGATAATTGCGATATTTCCGTGAACAGTATCGTCGGACCACAAACATCCTCATCTATTTACCTATGAAATCGTTTTTTGGCGATTAATGACTTTTGCATTTTCTATATGAAAAACACAATTTAGAAACATGTACAACGTATTTCATTAGTGATTGCCCACACGTCGCAATTTTAGTTAAACGCAGGGTCTTTGGAATTTAACAATCGCCGACGGCGAGGACAAGCTAAATAACGACAGAAAATTTATTCCTCATATTCCGGCATCGTTCGAAAAGATATTCCTCGAACCGTGGTAATTAAGTTTTCGAGGGTAAGTAAGAGAATCGATTGTTATTGGGTTTGTGAAAAAAATAAAAATAAAAATGAGACAGCATCATCCCCAACTGCTATTGGTAATTTTACGGATTTTCTTTTCAAAAGGTATATATATCGTTCGATCTGGTAAGATGGTCCTTGCCGCGAGCTGTAAAATTCACGACCTGCGCACAGTAGACACTAGATAACATCATTATAAATCTATAGAAAACTATGATATCTTCTTTTTCTAAGGGTATAAAATATATTTAAAGCATTGCAGAAGGCTCCGAAGTAATTATTGTCACAAGTACACCGGCACCAGGGCGCGAGGCGGTTATCTAATAGGGCCTTCGAAGACTTCTGCACAGGTGGCGATCTTACGAAATATACTGAACCTTTCATGCTCGTTAAAGGGCTCGTCGGGAGCCAAACATCAATGTGACATAACTGATCCTTTTCACGAGCAAAAAGAAAACGCATATTTCGGTTAACACGTTACGTATACATTTATACATTTACATATGAAGCATATATTATACATTCAACCGTCACAATAAAACGCCTCTTTAAATCTTTGAGGAAATCCTATCGTATGTCATGTGACAAACACACAAATGTCATGCAATATTCAATTGGGGTGTTTTTGACAAACATGTGTCGAGTGTGTGTGTGTTTATTTGTACGCAAATTTGATTTCTGCCATTTTCTGAAAGTTTTCAGGATAGTTATAAGTATAGTTATAAAAATTTTTCGGATTCCGGTAGCTGTTGGTTAGGCGAATGGGAGATTCTTGAAGGTGAGCGTTATGGCATGCTTTAGTTCAGTATATTTATTAATACCGCACAAAGTTGTATATGACACAGCTGTATAAACAGATCACATGTAGTAGCGGTCCGCTCGAACACTAGGTGAATTGTCACGAAATATCACTAGAGGATCATTCTAGATATTGTGCGTAGCTGGATTGTGGCAGGGGAGAACTGCTATACCACAATATAACAAATGCGTCTTACTAAGTAACTTTGTAAGCATTCTCTTCATGTAAATGTCTTAGAAAACCATAGTTACCGTGTATAATTTGTACCATTCATTCTTGTTACATTATTGTCAGCTTAATTGAGATTATTGTCTTATCTACTATCTAATCAGAGTAATGCTTCATCTGCTGTAAAATCCACGGAATATATTTCGGTACGTAAGCATAAACTCCGGGTAGGTGCGGATGAGCACATTTGATACCCCAACTGACGATTCCGCCTACAAACCACCGGTCTGGATCGCTGCTGTCGCGACACAGCAAAGGACCTCCGGAATCTCCCTGTGATGCATGCGCCATTAATTCGTCTTAGATTATGAACAGACCGTAGCAAACTCTAACCTGATACGTGCAGTTGACCTCAGACAATAATAATTTACCCAGCGCGCCCATCCGACGCGAAGGACTAAATCCTATATCGCGTATAATCAACGATCAGCGATGCCGATACCCTTATCTGGATGATTTCAAAGGAATCCGAAAGAGTTTCCACGTTTAGACGGGAAATATGGTTGGATTAAGTGATTATGAGAGCGCGATGAGAACTTGTAAACATGATGGGAGATAACTTTGATGTTGCGGAACATCACATTTTCAGAAGGAGATTTTTTCTGCAGGTGATGAATCGCGAAAATAGCACTTTGAATTCGCTCGGAGCAGAGAGAATTTAGAGTTAACTCCGCATGTTGATTCATTGAAATTATTTCAGTATTCGGCACTTGCGAGGAATTCGGTTGTAATAATGTATCTATCGCTCCAATTCGCCAGGAATTTCCAAAATTTTGAGTTGCTCTCGCTATTTCGTTTATAATTTGGATTATTTTGCGCCAGCTGCACGTATCAAAAGAAAATGTTTAGTAATCGCTCACCTGACAGGCATCTTTCCCTCCCTCCTTGTATCCTGCACAGATCATACCATCTGTAACGTTCAACTCCCGGTTTTCCAGCCAAGCGTTACACAAGTCCCGATTCAAAACGGGCACCTCCACTTCATTTACTTCGGGTTCGTATTCTGACACTACAAATAAACAACAAGTCTAACGTCACTTTTTCCAACCTGTCCCCTTTTCCGACAAATTGCCCAATCGTTTCAAACGAAACAAATATCCCAACTTCCTCCAAATCCAACCGGCATTGTTAAAGCGTTTTAAAACACTACACTGCTACACCCCCATTCATCAGCAAGATTGTTATAATTCTCCTCTTCCCCGACATAATCCCCCAACGATTAAATCGACTTCAACTTCACCCTTTATTTTGTTAAGATTCATACTGTTGATCCATTTTTCTTCAAGCTAGAACGTTTTTTATGGACACAGCGAAAAAAAAAAACAACAAAACAAAACGTTTCCCGACAACGCCAAGAACATTAATTATAAACTTACTGTGTCTCGTGTTTGTAAACCATTAACTGCTGATGGATCCGACGCCGGATGAAAAATGTCAACATGCTTTTTAATATTTCTTGCGTCGCAATTATTTTTAATAATTTATAAACATAAAAGCAGCCAAACCGAGCTTCTGCGTCTTCCCGGCAGTGACGCGTTCCTAACGTAACTGTTGCTTCCACAAAGTTAATAAAAATTTGGCGGAGGCGCCAGGTTAACTCGTTCATTGAAAACTTGAAAGTAAAAGTTCTTTTTACTTTCAGCTTCCCCTCGCTTTAAAAATACGATATTGTTAAAAAGTAAAGTTATTTTGGTGGTCTCCCTACGGGTTATTTTTAAACCTTCAAAGTGAATTAAATATTTAAACGCCAAGTGAATGAAAATTGCAACTTTTTCATTCAAGAAGAGCGTTTTAATATAAGTTTGCGTAAACAAAAGAAAGAATTTGTATTTCGAGGATATAAACTTGCAACAAATCAATTTTACGAGACAATATAATGTCAAGGTTGGTGCATGGCGTCTGTGAAAGCTGATAGAAGAAAATCGAAAAAAGATCTATTGCTGTAGAATACATTTCAATGTAAAAAAGTTCTAAAAACGTAATAGAGCTAAATGAGAAACCGGTAAAGATTGAATCAACTTTATAATAATCACACGTTTAATTATCGAACGGAAAAAGGAGAAAGGTGAATTGCTTTCAACTATCGGGAAATTGCGCTCCTGGATGTATTCGCGTTTAAGATAGATTTAGGGTGTCCTTGTCGCAACTCGTAGACAATGCATTTAATATAAGTTATCTGTGGAGCGAATTGATTCCGAGTTTTAATAGAGCCCCCTTTTGCGTCCCAGGCGCAAGACCCCGCAGGGACGGGACTTCAAAAGACGTGGCAACCCTCGACAATCCTGAAAATCCAGAAGCAGACATAATCCGGAAAAGTCTGGTTACATAATTTGTATAACGAGAACAAAAGGGTCAAGAGTTCTAAAACAACCCGAACACTTGTAGAAAAAAATGGCTTTAAAAATTTCTAGGCCAAAAATCTTAGTATGGTGCAAGGGAAAGAGAAGACACAGAAAAGGGTAACTGAAAATGGTGAAAGAACACAATAAAGAAGTCGGAGTAGAGGCTTGTAAAGCTAGATCGATACATATATACAATAATATTAAAAATACAGGCAAGGTAAGAGAATTGACCCCAATAAACAATATGTGCGTAAAATTTCATTGCAAAGAAGTTATTGAAATTCAGTTGTTTTCTGTACGAATGAAAAAGAATTAACGGGTTTAGATTTTAGAAGAACCGGAATTAGTACAATGAAGAAAATTTAATCATCTCTAAACGAATAATCTTTTAAGCTATAATCAAATATTGTGTTCCCCCTAACATTCCGTTAATTGTCTCTTTGATATTTCTTATTTGAAATATCTGCTTATCCCTTGCTCGTATTTTCGCTATTGCTGAAACGCTTTGAATTGCAGAACCTGTTGCATGGACATAATCCTGAATCAACCTTAATGTTACACATTATGATAAATCTTTACAAGAACCGTCTCAAAGACGCATTTGAAATTTAAATCTGTTGTTAAACACACTCTTTAGTGGAGTGAATTAAAACACAAGACCGATTTTTGGACGGATTTGGTGGAGGCGCCGGGTTACATTGGAAAAGTGACGGAGAATAAAACGTGAAAGTTAACAGTGTTCACTCTATGTAGTTATGAATATTGAATAAGTGTGTAAAGTTTTGTGATAATTAATTACTTACTTCCAGTGTCTTCCTTTTTGCCCCATCCTATAACCGTACATTTTGTGCCCGGATGAAGTTGCTTATTGGCAGGTGGAAGACAAACTGGCAATAAATGTTCATGAAAGTCAACCCTGGAGGAGAGCTAGAAATATAAATATTTATGTCTCATAACGAATGAATGCACTCAGTTTCGCGAGTTAATCGTTTCCAAATTGGTTTTAGCTTTCGTTTTTAATTGTTATCTTTATTTCCGAATTAACAATAAAGATTAGACTATGATGGTTAATAATGAAGACCTAAGCGTTGTTCTGTAAATTAATTTCTCCTTTGTGTGCTTGATGAGAATGGCGGATTGCAGCTTTTGTATCTCGGAATTAATTGTTAGAGTATAATCTTAATTCTGACAATTAACTATTAATGAAAGTTGCGTAAGTGAGTAGTACTTGAAGCTCGTTGAAAATTTCGATTAATCGATATTTGCCCGGGCTATTTCAAATATATCCGGACAAATATCGAGTTTTATTTAACTTGTCGCAACTTAATGTCCGGGACAGTGACGGCTGTTTATCAAACCGTTTCTGACACGTTTTATTATCTCGGACAAAGCAAATTGCACCCGAAGACTTTTAGTTGATTTGATTCAAGAGAAAATTGAATCGAAAGGAAATGTTCGGAATTAATAGTAATATAAGATACAAAATCCCGAGCGCTCCGTCTGGAATACAAAACTTACTTGAAATAAAGCGACGTCATTATCGTGCGCCACACCAAGGTTGTATAGAGGATGTGGAACAACATTTTTAACTTTCATTTTCTGCCCATAAAAGGAATGAGCGTGTCGTCTCGTAATACCCAGTTGAATGGTCCAGCCGGAAACGTCCGAATGGCTGTAGAATAAAATGCCTTATAAATGCGTCCGTGAAGGTGCGCTTTCACTAATCGGCGGCTGGTGCAACGATTCGTATTACATGAACGCGATCGGCGCCGATGCCGATTAGTGTACGCGCAGCTTAAGAAGTCGCGGTTTCTTACTTCCCGACGCAATGAGAAGCCGTGAGTACCCATTGATCGGCGATTAAGACGCCGGCACAATAAAATATCTCTTCTGGACCCCCGAGGAGAGCTGCAAGGAAAGGCCAGTCTCCTGGTTTTGATGGATTACCACCAACTATCCTCAAAGTCAGTTGTTCCGCGTAACTTTTCCTCGCTTTTCCGCATACTATAACTCTTTTTACACAAACGCCACGTCAAACATGTCCTACTTACTGTAATTTGTGCAGTTTAAAGCGACTGTGGGGTATGTTGTTCCGTTGCACGAACCGAATTCTCGGATCATGTTTTTCGGTCGTTTGTTCTGGTTCATTCGCCAGATAGCCGTTGTCTCCTGAATCGGAGGAGAAATGTTTATGTCGGTACCTCTCACTAAACGGCTTCCATTGGAACTCCTATAATTCCGCGAAACACTATTTAAACTTTTGTTAGGGGCAAACAAAACTTTATAGCGATATACCACTCAATACCTACTACATCTTTGCTAACTGTTCTGCTTCTTATCTTTCTTCACACAGACCTTCTGTTCCCGTAATATGATGTGAACTCGCAAAGACATCAAATCGGATGCCAACAAGTCATTCGCAGAATTGAAAAATGAAATGATGTTACATGCCAATTAATTTTTATTCCACCGAAACACCTACACAACTTCGTACTGAATAAGTATGTAGGTGGCTAAGGTGACGAAAAATTCACCTCAATTTCATTTTCAATGCTATCGAACGTAAATATACTTTTTCACTTCATTATTTTTAGTCGAGAAGAGACAATTTCATTTAAACACGAGCTTTTCCCATACAAAGAAAAAAGCTAGCTTCATTCCCACCGTTCTCTCATGTCAAATATTAAATACTTTATTAGTTTTCCAATCCCGAACATCACAGGATTTTCACAAAAGAAAAATATAAAATTAGTCATTTTCTGACGCTAGACAGAAAATTAAGAATTTAGTTACAATTGCGAAGTATTCATATAGGATGCCTTACAATACTGTTTAAATAATTTATACAAAACTTTAAGTTCATTGTCGTTCAAAATTTGTGAAACCGAAAATAAATCTATTCTTCATGAAACTGTAACTGTACTTTGTATATGACTTAAGATGTTGAGATAAGCATCTCATTGAATGTCACGTGCAAGTGTTTGAAGTATTAGAACCGTTGTTTCACGTTTTATTTCTCAAAATTTCAAAATTTTGACTAATTTTTCCAAAAATAAAATAAAAGAATTAGAGTCAAGATCTTGTGAAAAAGTTAAAATCTTAAATAAAAAGTTAAAAGCTTAAATAGAGTTTGTCTGTTTCAAAAAATTATGGTCTTCTTAGTTCAGAGACAAACGGTAATTTTGGAGAAACGATACGTTCTTCTGGAAAGCAGTTCCTCTGAAGAAGCTTGTTAAATTTTTGAATTTTGTTTTTTCCGTGATCTTCAATATGTTTTTAAAATTTTGAGTTCTTGTCCTTAAAATGTGTAAGAAAAGGCAGTCAAGATGTTGAAAGATGTTAAAAACCTGAGATATAAAACTACGAACACATTTTAGTTACTTTTCTGGTTTAGAATTTGAGGAGATCAAAATAACTAACAAAAATTTTTCGAAAATCTAAGTTTGCATTTTTTAGTGCAATTAGTTAAAGATGATACACAGTTTTTAACATTCATTTCGTAACATGACTTGTAATAAAAACCGGGTGAAGGAAGCAATTTCATGTTACTTGCTATCGTTTGCTTATGTGAGAAGACATAGAGCGGAAAGTACACAACAATCCGACGAAATTACAGATAGTTTTCACAACTCGACAACATTCTTTATTTGTCCGTTGGAAAAGAAAATTTATTAAGTTCATACCGTAATAGCTTCCTTTCCCCGGAACTCGAGAACAGTTTCGCTTAAATGTTGATAAGATATTGAAGAACAGTAAATTATTGAGTTAGTAGTCTCGTATCAATCACGTTTAACAATTTCTGGCTTTTCGGTAGCCCGACTAACTCACCAAGCTAACAATCTACAACACATAATTCACTTACGAATATCCAAGTAGCGAACAAATGGTTTTTGGCGATGTCTTCTGATCCCAGTGGGCTACACATGCTGGCACCCATTCGTTTTGGTCGGGTCTAAATACCTCCAACTGTCCTTTACCTTCATCTCCATTCCGTTCACTTAATCTTACTAAAAATCGCGTTATATCAATTTTTCTCACCGACGGGACTCTCCATCACTTACAGCAATTTCTTTCATCTTGACCCCAAGGACAGTCCAGTTTACCGTCGCACATATGTTCTTGCGTTATGCATTTCTCCTGACCGCAGTGAATCATTCCAGGACCGCATTCTTTGCAGTTTAATTCATCGGATTTATCTTTGCAATCAGTGTAACCGTCGCATTGCCAGTCCTTAGGGATGCACCGCCTTACGTCGCATTGGAAGCCGTTCGGGCACACTTGAAGGATAGACACTTTAATTGGTGTCCGCGGTTGTAGATTAAAATGCATGTGATAGTTAAGGGTGTGTATCGTCATTACGGATATTACAGTGAGTTAATTGTACAACTTGCGGTAAATTTGGTGGTCTTCCACGCTACTTATATTGAAAAATTGCATGCGGTGTAGGCTGAGTGTTTTGTAGTTGCATTAGGACGAAGGAATTGTGGCTATTTTAAAAGCGTGGTGACAAGTTGTAGTCTGTTTTCGCTTATTTGTGGCTTGGGTGTCTGAAGCTAACACGCATACTTTTCTAGCTAGCTAGATAAATGGAATAGGAAGCAAACAAGAGACGAGTTTCAACACGGAGACAACGTCTGGAATTGCAGCATGCGTTGAGGTTTGCGTAATTGCAGACATATTTCATGTCTCGATGCGATAGTCCCTGGGTTATGCAGAGACCTGTACAATTTTGCAAAATTGGTTGGAAGTTGAATAACGTAAAACTAGATACACATTTATTGATTTCAGTTTACGGAAACAAAATTGTCCGATGGAATGCGATTTATATCCAAGCTGCGTTTAGAATCAATTTAATTGAAAATCGTTGAATTTTTAGAGAAGAGATCATTAGTCATCGGAACCGTTTACAAGTTGACGTTAGAGATAAGTTGATCGTAGATTTGAAACGCTTTAATAAATTCGCCTTATAAATTTGAGGGTGAATCTGTTTCGGTGCATCAACATAAAATATTTATTAAAGAGCGCGGATATCGTCGTGTAAAACACGAGTCGACAAAAGATCCATGAGGCATATTAATAGGATATTTTCGTCGGGCGCGATAAGAAAATGTTATTATTCTATTGGGTCTATCTGATGGTGTTAGAGGGGTCTACGCACAGCTACTACAATGTTGTTAGAGCTTGACGTCGTGGTTTATTGTGTAAACAGCTTCCGGTTGTTTTACTCCGTTACTTTAATAGCTTCGAACGCGAATTCGAGCTTCATTAGATATATCTCGATACATCCCGTAATTGCAGTCTTTGTCGATTCGTTTGTCGTCGTGAAAGCGCTAATTACCTGGTCTCTGAGCCCTCAATTTGGCTTGCTTCACTTCGTGATAGCCGATGCACGGGCCTCGCTCCGGCTTCTCCGGAAACAGAGCACAGTCCAGATACTCCGGGAGAGTCAATCCAAACACGTCAAGAAAGAAACCGCATCGCCGTTTCGTCTCTGTAATGAGTCGGTTAGCATCGAGTCGGGGCGAGCCAGAGCCGTAACTAACAAGGTTTCTGATGTACTGTCACGAAAGAGTTTGCTTGTTTGAGCAAGTATCGAACGCAGTGTATGACTCGCAGGTAACGCGCAACGTTGGCTCCTCCGACTAACTTTGTATTATTTTGCTTGATTGCTATTTTGAGAATTAAACTTGCGGATTGGACCCGACGGTTATGTTTAAGAGCGCCCTACCCTTGAGCAACCCTCAAGTTATAGGCGTGACAGTATATTAGAGAAATTAGATACGGCAAGTGCTAGTTAGGACTCAGGATCAAATTGAGGTGTTATACCGTAGCAAAGGTTGCGACAGGGTCGAACCACTTCCCCATGAGGGCCACATTTGGGCACGAAAAGTGAGCAGAGGAAGAGGGCAGACAGTTCGTAACAACGAACGTCGACAACCGCGTCGTACAACTCCAACTCTTGTTGGGCGTCTCTTTGTCCGAAGTGTCCCATATAGTTCGGATAAACCGTGAAGTTGTAAGGTACTTTATGCTGTTGACAGAAACTCACGATTACAGGTAAACAGATTCCAGGAGCCGGATTTGTGCTGATTTTTTCAACAGCTGGCGCGATGGTCGTGTTAAAGGTCGTGTTTACTATTTGCACTGACGTTGGGTAAGCTGGAAGTAAAGAATCATAACAACGCGGGTTTGTTTAGTTTACGCAAGGATCACCTTTAAAGTACGCCGCCATTCCTGCGCCTATAGCAAACAAGGCAATTGCATTTATAATTATTTGAGCAAATCTAAACCTTAATTTTAAACGTCGAGCGTAGTGGCTCGAGGGACGTCTCATATCTCTAATTATCTAAAAACGAGATCGGGTTAAACGAGCGATCGAAGAGATATTTCGCGTTACCCTATGATGGAGAGACATATTTGACCCATTATGGAAGCGCACGATGGTCTGCAAGCTTGCAGGCGTCGATGCACTCTTGGTTATTGTTGTGTTTCCGTTAGCGTCGTCTTCGACGTTTTGAACTTTAGCAAGAATCCCGTTTTGTTGCCTGACGGGAGTCTTTGGCGGCAACAGGGGAGTTTCCATCGTTTTTGTTGTGTAACTCGGGGACGATGTTTGACTAAAGCTGTCGCTGGAGATCCCCGAGTCTTGTCGCACTGAAACTCTGCCCCCGTTACACTGATTTCCGGAAACTTTATTTGCCGGAGCGATGTTCGGCTTGTGACACCCCTTGGGAGCCGGCGGTGGAGGGCCGACTGGAGCAGGAGGTATCTTCGAAAAATCCTGGTTTACAGAATTAAATTCAAAAGTGCAACCAGGAAGCTTGTTCTGTTTAGGCGACGCATTTCTGTTTAAGTCGTAAGTTCTTGACAATATGTTAATATTGTTTGATTCGCCGGAGATCTGGTGTCTGACCGGTGGCCTGGGTTTGGTATCTACAGTGGGTATGGGGGGTAACGCTCGAGATTTCGGCAGAGGTGGAATGACTGGAGGTGGTTGTGGTAATGTTCGGACGCTCGTTTTAACAACGGTCTCGTTAGCATTCACCGGTGGGGGTACGTGCGTTCTTTTGGGTACGGCAGGTGGTCGCATTGGTACAGGCGGAGGTATCTGGAAACAAAAACAACAACCTACCGCTACAACAGCTAACTTTTTTTAATAACTTTTCTACATGCTCTTGAAAATATGTTGTCACGTCTTTCTAAGACGAAGGTCCTTAATGAAATTCTCGCAACGCATACCGCGCATAACTTGTGGTTACAAACCTGCCAACAAGTGGTGACGTCACAGCAGTATTCCTTACTTAAGAAAAAGACTAAATTTTGGGGTTCATTTCAACCGAGACATAATGGCACGCCAAACAAAACTAACCTCAAAAGTTTTCCACAAGAATTCGCGCCAGTTCTAAACTCTAGATCAGTGTCATCATGTTTACTTTACTTAAGTTCAACAAACAAAATATTTCTGATTCTCCTACACAATTGAACAATTTATTGTATTTATTTGTTAGTATTTATGGTTATTCACGTTCGGGGTTGGTAAAACCATGATATAAAAGTAAAACTTGAATAATAATTGAATTTATCTATGAAGTATTTCTTATCATTAAATGACTTTTTAAACATGTTAAATGTTTCTATTGATTTATTCTTTACAGTCATACATTTCTCACGAAGGCAGATAAGACACAGACAAAAAATTTGATACCTAATTTACACACAATGCCAACTTTGCATTTTAACTTGGAGAACAATAAGGTTCAAAATGCAACGTTACAACGAAATTCATTTAGGATAGAGCACGTTTTGTGTTCTTATTTGCTTTTAATATTGTACAATTCTTGTCGTAAATGGAAATAGCCAACGAAAAACAGAAAGATTAACAATGATTTTAAATTCAAAATTTCAAAAAAATGTTTTCACTCGTTTGAAAATACAGGCAAAATTTGAGTATAATCCGTTAGACAGTTTAGAACACAGTCTTTTCAAAATATTATCATATTCCATGAAATTAAAAAGAAGTTAGGAATGTCACTAATTCGTTTGTTGACGCTTTATTTTTTTGTCAATTAAAAAGTTAACCTAGTTTTATCTATTATTTTGACATTATTTTACACTTAACACTTTTGAAACACGCAGTACATTTGCGATCGTTTTGTGGTGATCCATTACGAACAGATTGTAATCAACGTAGCTCGCAGGCTATGCAAATTTGATAATTTAAACCTGACAGGCTACTCACTAGCCACAAGTGCAATGTATTGTGTGAATTAATTATATCTTAATAATCTCTCATCATGTCTTCATTACGTGATATCAGCTTTGTTACCATCACTTTCATCAACTATCGCTACTAGATTTCACAATATAATAACATACAAATTAGGAAAGATATTTATCTTTAAAAAATCGATCATTGCTGTTCCTACTAGTTGCGTGTATGCAGTTAATGTAAGGTTAATCAATTCCTGTAACTCTAAATTAATTTTCCGTAAATGTTTACATTGTGTTTTTATTTACTTATTCTTATTATTATTTTATTACTACTAATACACAAAAAATGTAAGTTTTAATCATCTAGAACATCCTTAGTTATATTTTAACATTTTTGTAGTTACATGGTCAAGCGTAGCTTTCGGCAGTTCTCCAGTTTCCGGGTGACGCAGCGAACAAAAATTTAAGTTTGCTATAGTTTCGAATGTGACACTGTTTTCAACTTGAGCAAACCAAATTATCTAAAGCAGTTTAGTATAAAATTTGCACTGAAGAAGAAAACCATACTTTTTCGGTCCTGGTTCTTTCAAAATTTTGAATTTAACTTTTTTTGAAAACAATTTTCAAACCGTGTTTACTAAAAAAACTACAAGTGTGTCTATTGTGTCCTATACACCTGATAATTTGACTGATCAATTGAAATGTGGTTTTTAAAGACTGATGATGAAGACTAAGTTTTCAAAACATGATGTTACTGGTGAAATAAATTTTTGGGTGAAGCTAGACACTAAGTGTGATCGTGTTGCAGTAGGCTTTTTTGTATTACTGATTATTTTACAGAAACATAAATGTTCCAAGCGGCGCATAGTTGAATTCAATTTCACGCAGCTCTGGCTCATTCTGTTAACTATCATTAAAAATGACGTATAATGTTTAATAGGAATTAGAGCTGAGTCTGAGTGGCCTTATGCAACATTTTTCACTCGACACATTTGATAATTTTGTCAATAAACGAAAATACCAACTAGTGTTCTGTTTAAAATATCCTGTGATGTTTTTTTTCGTTTGAAAAATTTACGTAACAGACACAATTCCGATTATTTCGGTGGAATCTTTAAAATTTTTTTGTTGGTGTTTGGTGCGTTTAATTTGAGCTGCTAGTTAAAAGGAAATTCTTGTTTGTAGATTCGCCCTACACGAAGTGTTACCTTCAAAAATTACGTGCTTTAGAAATTCCTGCGTGGTTGTTGATCTTAAAAAAATAAATGTTCATGTTTTATCTAACGCTTGCCATTATTTTAAAAGTAATTCCGCACATTCCTTTCCATCGTCAGCTTTATTTATTATAGGCGATTGAAAAATGTGCTTCCAGAATGTTTCATTTTTGCGAAGAAAATAAATCTCGAAGACAAATACATCGCTTATTATTTTTATACATACTTAAAAGCTTTTGTTCAAACACCGTATATTTTTAATTTTATGTTTACTTAAAATCCGCCGTCACGTTATTTTTGTGTCGGATTAAAATTTAAGAATATCTGTGCATTAAGCGCTGCTAAAAATAAACACACGAAGAAATATAACGTTTCGGATTTAACGCCTCGAAATGAGGAATGTAAAATGCTCAGGATGAAACTGTGTGTGCACTTACCTAAACACCCCCAAGTTTTAATAAAAATGTAATATTCACTGACGCTTGAAGACGTTCATTTGTTGAATATAACAGTTTGAAATTTAACGATGTCGTTTCGTTCGTATCTATATTCACAAGGATTGTTAGACGTCTTATCATACTGAAACTTTCAAGCATTGCGTCTTCGCAAACTAACAAAATCCGGTAACAAGCTGGCAAAAAAGGGCCTTCAGCCTCAGTCTGATCTGTGCCTGAGTGACAAACATATGACAGAAGAAGTGGAAAATTTTTTTTATAGTTACAAAAAAACCTAAAATGTACTTTTCTTAGGTTGTCTATGCATTGTATGGGCGTCAAAATACATACATGTTGTCCGTCGCTTTCTATAACATCAGTGTTTCTTATTTCGCACGGGTAGACACAACGATCGTAGGAAATCAGAACTTTACGCAATAGTTCGGCGAAAATTAAGACTACAAGTTTGTTTGCCCAAAAATAGATAACTTATTAGGAAGGTTATCAAAATATTTATCACAAATGTTAGTAAATTCAGTTTTATATTTGTTGACTATAAAAATCGCCTCTTAATATTCAAGAGTGTTTCTTATAATAAAAGCGCCTGTTTGTTTATTCGTAGTAGTAAAATTGCCTTTTTTAATGAGTATGGGAGCAAGTCGTGAAAATAACGTTAGCATGCAAGTGGAGTTGAAAGTTATATAATACGTGCGGAGAAGTTTTTCTTGTGTGGAGGTTTCAAATTGAGTAAATAGGGGAGTTGATAGGCTCAGGTTCGTGTTATTGTGTCAAATATTATATTTGTGAAGGAGTTTTCGAATCAAACGGTTATGGAAACGGTTCTTTGAATTGATTTTATTCTATAGATGTATGAAAATTTTATTCCTGATTTCGCTAATATTCACGTTGTTTGTATAATGGAATTTTTCGCTTTTTCCGCGGCGAACCAGGATTTTATAAAAGGTGTAATAAATCAAATATTTTAATTTTTATCCCCTATGAAAGCACGTAAACAGAAAGACGAGTCAGGCTCGACTCAATAAGGGATCTTAAGACGGCGAAGTGTCTATGTGGTCCATAAAATGATATGCAAATGAGCGTATTAAAGTCATTAATTTGATATTTTGTAATGATTGATTGCTCGAGGGCTAAATATATTTTGCGCATATTTCGTCGCGGTTAAACAATAAGACTTTTCCATTAACCGACGAATCAATCTCTTCTGTCAAAATATCAGGAATGATGCTTTGTTGTACTTACCTTTTTGTTAAAGTTTGAATCAGTGTAATCGTTATAATGAAGCGTCACAATTAATTAAAAATTCCGATAGGACTGTCAGGGCTAGTATAAAATTTGATTCCCTTGCAGTCTCCCGAATTCTCTGAGGTTATTTCAACAGAACTGATCCGATTATAAACGCGTATGAACAGTTAAATGTAGCGTATTATGTGATGAAAACGGGTCCTGTTTTGAAAATGCTTATTTTTAGCCAAGTTAAAGTTATTTGACGCGGAGAATTCGCAAGAAGAACATGTACTTACGCTAGCCACCGTAGCATTTCTCTCTTCCGTGATAGGACAGGTGTGCGCCGAGTGCCGCCTCGCATAAATGTTGGAGCTGTTGATGGGCGCCAACGTGAGGGAAGTGGGCTGCAAGTTCTGCTGGTCACCATCCAGAAGATCTAGAAGCGCTCTTTCATTGGCCAGACTTCCCCATCTGAGAACCGAAAGAGTTAGGAAGGAAGGAAAGGAGCGGGGCGGAAGAGTAAGTACCTTGGCCTAGGCCTTGGTTCCTCTATCTGGTTAACAACACTATGACGATGTCTATCCACCATGGCGTCCCTTTCCCCTTACAGCATGCTGCGCTCTGCACATACAACAGACCTGTTGCACCTATACAGAAACAAATTATTTTGCATGGTAGCGACTCGCAATGCGATTTTTCAAGTGGCCACTAATTTCGAAAATTCCACCGGGAGCCAATTTCATTTTATCGGTGGGCAAATTTATGCTTCCACGATCAATCATGTTCCATCACGCGCCAACACTGATTGAAACCGGAGTTGGATGGTTTCGGCGCGTCGCAACTTTTCTTTGGAAACTTTCTAAATTTGGGAAGTTGTGCGGAAGTATGGGTGGAAATTTGGGCACGGGACTGCGACCATCCGACGGTCACTGACCTACTACAGACATCACGTACACTCACCTGGAGCGATGCGCGCGTAAAGTAACGTGTGGTGTGCGTGACCGCGACGTGGCGACATGTGTACGCGAATGTGTCTAAGCTGGTGGCCCTTCGGACCTGCGCCGCCGCCCGGCCGAACCGCCGCCGCCCGGCCCAAGCTGCGCTCGATGCAGCGCTCAACTCCACGTGGACGTCTCGAACACCGTCAACCGAGCCTACCTTATCCTTCCGTCGGCGACGCTACCAGCTCTGTCTCCGCCGCTCACGCTGGACCTAAACGACAATTTCGCGGACAACGCTCAGCATCCTCCCAACGACTTGCGACGCGACGCAACAATTTTTTACAACACGTTCTAACAAGTGGATCGCTTACTTAACACAACAAACTGCACCACCGAGACGAGGTTCATGAAATTCCGAGACCCAACCGATCTTGGAAATCGATCTCGGACGATCTTTACTTTCCACATACGCATTTTCTATGCATCTTAAGAACATTCAAAACTCTTCGGTGTAACTTTATTCACACTGCGTTGTACTAATAAATAATATACATTCTTATGTAAAATACATCACTCACTCTTCGAGACTTACCCCTCAGTGGGTAATCTTCGACTGTCTCCATGAAAAATAAGTTTAAAGCAGTTTTAAGACAACAGAAGAGTATGCAAAAACAAACGTCAATAAACTCTCAACATTCATCTTCCATTTATGATTATCGAGTCACAAACTGAAATAAATATGTCTCCACTTGTAACAGTGTCATAACGCGATCTCTTGGGATCTTTACGCTTTTTAGGTTAAGTTTTTTAAATAATAATAATAATAATAATACATGTATTTAGCCACATTAACGGACTTATTCTAATGAAAATTTAAATATGACCTGTCTATAACTTGCACGTCATCTTTAAAAATCAATATGTCAATTATTGATAAATATTTTGGAATACCGTTTTCACCACTGTTTTCAGTCAACTTACAAAACTTTATAAATCGTAGGGGAAACATTGTCGACTTTCGTTGTGGGAAATGAGACAGTAAAAAGCAGTTTCTGCTGTATCTCACAGTGGTAAAAACTGTGTTCCGAAATTTACATCAATAATTGGGATATTGATTTTTAAAAATAAAATTTAACCAAATTTTAAAAACTGTCCTTGAACGGGTATATATCAAATCAAGTTAAAACAACCCGGAAAGAGCAAAAGTAGCTTTTCATGCTGACGTACTGCGTAGTGATGGCCGTAATGTGTTGTAATAAAAGTGTCGTTTACCTGATGAGCAGTTTTAGCACAGGACAAATCGAAAACACACAAATTGTATACTCTTTTTCTAAACCAAATGAATGCGCCCTTTTTCTTTAGGGCATTAATCCATTATCTTTTCATTAACATCGGAAATCGACCGAATAAGCTTTTGTTCAGTTGACAAACACGCTAACGCGTTAAGCCTTGGCGAACACTCTACATTTAAGTCAAGCGTGCGACATCCATTTCGTTTTTCATCAATATTTAGCTAGAAAGAGTTGTTGTTACTTCTTGCGCGCAAGCTAAGGAAATATTGTAATAGGGTCCAGCCGGCGAATGGATACTTTCATGTTCTCTCGACGTGTAATTACCGCTTTTGTATAACAATAAGTCGCCTACTTCCGACATGATAACGTCAAATTAAAATTTTTCATAGCGAATATTACTTAAAAGTATAAAAGAACGTACTCCCACAGGTGTGTAGCAAAAGACCTATTTAAATAACACACAAAAAAAAACAAATGTTAAAACAAACACTCGTCTGATTATAGGAGAGGTCAACTGAGGTCAAAATGAGCTAGAACCCCCATCATATAAAATTGGAATTTGATGTAAAGAGAGCGAAATTTTATTTAATTATGAAGCTAATTTTTATTTCTTAAGTAAAAAATGAGTGTTTCGTTAACAATAAATACAGAGGGTACAATAATGGCGTCATAACAATTAACAGTTCTTTGTGAAAAATGCATTTTACGCGACGGATACATATAAAAGATTGTCAGTAGCGTTAAACTTTTATAATATCAGTCAGTCTGCTCGCTCTGTAAACTTTTACCTCTAAAATCGAAAAATACACACACGCATATATATAATATATGTCAGCGAGTGTTTTCCGCGTCTTTTCAATAAATATGGTGCGGCGAAGGTTATGATCATGTTTTAGTATATATAAAATTTAATCAATAAATTTTATTAGTGTAGAAAACGCAAGTTTCGATTTTCTTGGCATTGTCATGTTTGCGTATACTTTGTCGTCGTGTTATTTGTATCTCCACAACTCGTGATACTAAAATTTGAACGTACGGCAAATTATCGAACCTCGTTCTAGCGTGCGATTGCAAAATGCATCGTCACTTCGACTTGCTAATGATCGCAAATAATCGAGCAATTATATGCACAAGCCCGAGCGTCGGTTCGACGATGTCTTTCAGAAACTTTGTTAAAAGGGTCGTAATCTATTCACGGTTGACACGCGTTTTTACACCTTACTCTGACAGTACCACCCATGAAAAACGATAATGACGGATCTTCAATAAGATCTGCCGCAACAGGTTTAATAGAAAATTTTATTTTACTCTCCTCTGCCATAACCAGACTTCATTACCACCGAAACTCAAATATTCCTTCTGATGCTCGACTTAACCAACAAAGAGACATGCCGCAAACAAGGTTTCAATTCTCTTTACAAAACTTAACTTCTTAAAAGTATGGCATATTAAGTACTACCTTTCAAAGGAGCTCTGCAATTTCCAACTTTTTCTGGTTCTGGTTGCTTACAGAAAATTAAGTCCTTTTATGTAACACGGGTTTTTGCAATTTCAAAGACGTTTTATTAAGCTTAAGGAAGGTAAATTACAATAGCTTCACTTATATAAAACGTGAAAAGATGTGTTGACGTTTGAATAAAATAACCAAGAATACCTCAAGCGTTTGCGTTATTTATACAATTACGAACGGTAAACAACTTAAATAAAATTGAAGCAAATATATAAAACATTAGAGAAAAAATCACACAGTACAGCGTATACGAGTGAATTTGTTATTCTGATAAAACTTATTCAACGTTAATGTTTAAATTTCGCGCGTTACTACACATCACTTCGGCTGAAACCTTTAAGTGCTCAAGATCAATGAAATGATGAAAGTGTCTTCTCGATAGCGACGCTTCTGGCTTTACCTCATATTCGTGAAATCTGTACGACAAGCATAATTAAATCCAATTACTTAGAACACTTTTTGTCATGCTTCCTCAGGTGTGAACTAACACTCATCAAAACAAAGATTAAAAGATACTTTGGTAAATAAATTGGAATTGTGAAACGTGCGACAGCTGTTATTTATCTTCTTAACACTAATAAAGATTCATTATTTACCTGCTGTATATTAATCCACGTTAATGTCTGCAGGTACAAAACTTAACATTTGACACTCTCGAATTGAAATGTAAAATCGATACAACCACAGTAAATGAAAAAAAATCTCAAAAAAGTAAAGCGTCGCTCTCTACCCTGATTTAATCGTAGTTAAGTGCTTGATTAAAATTGGTGCCATCTCATTGGGGTATAATCCAGTTAAACAAACATTAAACCATTAGAACGAGTGGTTAAGTTCATTAAAAACAATATTCGCAACGTTTAATTTCAGTTGTTTTAGTGAAAGTGACAATCCTGTCCACTACTAGTCTACACAAACTAACTTAATTAAAAACGCTATCTATTGTTTACGCTTTTTCCAAAAACATGACATTTTTAATAAATCTGCTTTAACAATCGTCAATTGTGAAATTAATTAAAACAGAACATACGTCAATTTATTCACTGTAAAAAATCTATAATTGAAAATTGAAAATAACCAACAAAATTAAAAATTGCAGATATAAATAAATACAGTCTGGGATATTTGCGTTCCACTCGAGCTTGATTTTTCCTTGGTAACACAGCAAACATTTTTTTCTTAAGCACGAATTCGCTTTACGATGTAATTTAGCTATTAAGTCGTTAGGGTTGGACGTTGCGACTACAAAAAATTAGATACAAACTCGTACTAGAGAAATACGGCCACACACGACACGACGGCGTGGCACGTTCTTAAAAACGTGGATAGTAAACAACGTAAAGCTGCAACAGTAGAATTTCAGTAGATTTTTATAGTAAACAAATCCAATTCGTTACAAAATAAAACAACTATTAGTATTTTATTAGTTGTATTGTACCAAAATACCCCTAGAATCAGGTTAAAAAAACTGGCGCCCGAGTTTTCCGTCCTGTTCGAACTGTATACAATTATGTGTATATTTCTACCGCTGTTCGGTGCGCGTGCGCATGTGTAACGTGCGAGTAAATTCAACCAGCACGTTGGAAGCATGATTAATTGTTGACTTCGTGTAAATCATGTGCTACTTAAATATCTGAAATATTGCATGCCTCTCTTTAACGGTGTGGTTTCTAAAACAAACTTCTAAGTTGAAGCTTGTGTTTAGAATTTCCTCTTTATTCATATATTGTTTATATAAATTTATTTTCAAGCGAGAGTATAATACAGGCCTTTGTTACATTCTTACGCTTTGTCTTGCAACCGACATGGAATTAACTTTGTCAGAAGTAATAAGAATATAGACAATAGTTTGACAAGCATCGCTTTGTTGTAGGTGAAGTACGTGTCGGATCAGCGAGATTCAACCA